AGGAGGAGGAAGGAAAGATGGATGACGTGGCTAAATAGTATTATTATGATATGGGAGAATACATTATAATAAATGGAAACTAAATTAATCTGAAGGTTATACTATTTATGATGTATAATAGACTACATGAAGCAGTGGTGTAGCCTGGATTCTTTGTTACCATAATATATTATTACTTTATACATAAATTTAAATACTTTTTGTGTAAAAATACTTCAATATAAACTACTTATCATTTAGTATTTTAAAGCCCTGCCTCTTTTATTTATGCAAAAGGTAGAAAAGAATTAAGCTAATTAAATGATACTGAACATATTGATCTACACAGAAAACTATGGTCTAGGGATGGAAATATATAAGGAAGTTTAAATTCACAATGCCGAAAAATATCTTGTAAGATATATCAAAACTTTATTTTTATGATTTAAAGGATTTTCTTTTTATAATTTTTTATGATAAAGAAGAATATCAAAACTTAAGTAATTATGACTTTTATTGAGCCATTTATTTTTTTTTACTTTTCACATAAATGAAGAAAATGATATATTAAAATGACAAAATTTCGACCACTACTTTCTAAACCGTAGCATGCAAGTTCTCAAAGTGATCACAGCACGCGCACTTCAGTTCGGCGCACTATCCACTAAACAAATAGCAGGGGGACTCATTATTACAAGGATAAGGAATCATCATTTTTTTCTTCTTCTTTATTATGGATGTCTAACGGTAGTCAATTATCTTGTCCAAAAAAGAAAACGCTAGTCACTTATATATCTATAATATAAAATATTGGAATCCATAAAAATAAATATATCTAATATTATATTTATTATACTTCAGACAAAGTTAAAAAAATAACATCAAGTTTTTATCCAAAAAAATGATTAAGAATTAAAAATAGTTAATTTCAATTGTATAATATATAATTTTACAAGATTAAATCCTGAAATATATATATATATAATTAAATAAACTTAAATATGATTTTCATCCCAGTAATATAGCATTTTTTTTTATCTTTTGTTCCTGTAATTTTTTTTCTATTCAAACGTTTCATTTACGAAACGATTAGCTTGTTGACATTTTCACATGCCTCGTCAAGTATATGTTAAAGTATTTGGCCTCTGATGAGATGGGATACACCTTAAGGGTGCAATCTTTAGGGAAGTAAGAGATGTGTACTTTTACTCTTAGTTTGTTCTTGTCATATTGGGGGTATAAGGTATTTAGGTGGTCAAATACCCTATCCCGTAATATCAATGGTGCATAGTTATGAAGATCTAGAAAGACCTCCAAGAAGAGAAGAAGGATCTAAGATGAAGGTTCTCTTAATTGGGCCAAAAAACCTAATGAAAAAACTAAAAGGGAGAAGCCCATGATTGGGTTAGGAATACTTATGAAGGGAGAAGCCTATGATTGGGAAGGAGTAACGATATCTAAAAGGTTCATGATATATACACCTTCTTTTTAAAAAAAAAAATAATTAAATTTTTAAAATATTCTTAATTTTTTTTAATTCTTTTGTTTTTAATTTTTAATTTTACATCTATAATATTTATTTTAGTACTTTTTTTCACACATCTTTCCTCCTTTTTTAAATTTTTACGTGCACTCACTTACCTTTCTTTCATCATACCTATTTTGATAGCATGTGAAAATTAAAAATAAAAAAAAACTACAATATCTTATAAATTAAAAAAAAAAAGTATATATATCATGAGCCTATCTAAAAAGCATTTAGAGAGGTGATCAACATACTACAAGCTCAGGCCCAATGTGGTGAGAGATGGGCCGAAAATGGTGCATTTAAATCAGAAAGCCCAAATTACGAGACTAATAATGCACCAACTATTGATATACATTTTGGTTTTTTTTTTATTTCATTTTAAGTTTTTTGTTGTTGTAATAAATGAGCTGATTGGATGCTAATTAGAGGCCCAGGTTTCGATCTTTGATTATGTTTATTTTTTAAGATGTAATTTCATCCTTAAACTTTCTTAGTCCTTATGCTCATGACAATTTAGAAATAGGATTAGTAGGGGTATAAACGGGTTAAGTTAGATTGAATTTGGATGAATTTGTTATTTGATATGATCAAAATTTAATGAATTGAATCGAGTTTGTGTAATTTTTTTATAAAAAAAAAAAAAAAAATTCAACCTAACCAAACTTGATTACAAGCAAGTTATATTAGGTTGGGTCAATCAAATCAACATATAATTACATTTATTTATTTTTAAAAAAAATAAATATTTTAAAATAAATGTAAATCATTTGATATTTTGTTACAAATACAATCTTATCAACGTATAAAGTAAACAATGATACAAATTAAATTCTAAAATAAATTTCTTGATTTATTACATTATTATCAACTCAAACAATCAACATTAATTAATATAAAATAAAATTTAAAATGAATATGTTGTATTGTTACAATGTTGTCAACACAAAAATTTGATCCTAACTGATTGAGTCAGTTTGGATTAATTTAGGTTTACAAGTTACTCGTATTTATTTACACTACTAAAGATTAACTTCTTAAAATAAACCCTAAAATTATAGATATAATCTCTCTCGTTTAAAGGTTTTGGGATAATATTGAAGTTTTGACTCCATTGTGAGTGTGAATAGCATTTACTCCTCTTTTTAGTTTTTGAATTAGAATCCTTTTGAATCTTATCAAATGTTACCACACCTGTAAGGATTCCTCGCTTGACTTATTACTCTCACGAGTATGGCTCCTTCTTACATTCTCTTATCTTTTCCACTTATTACTCTCACGAGTATGCCATTTATATTAAAATTCTCAAGTTTGCATAAATTTAATCTTCTTCTAACCCTTTTTCTTTCACTTTTATATCTATATAATTCATGACTCAAGATAATTAAATCAAGAACGATCCATACAAACAATACGACTCCTAATTAAGATCATATCACGTAATATCTTGAGCCTAAATCCTAGAATTTTGTAGTATTCATGTATTCTATGTTATTGATTTATATAATTGTTACAATTGTTTCATAATTAATTGTTATAATTATCATTAATTGTATCACTAATTATCATAACTACATCATTTATTGACATAATTATGTAGCATTCCTCGTAATTACATCATAATTATCTTTATTTTGCACAATGACATCCTTTATTCTTGCAATTTTATATCTTTTATCGTTATATTTTAAATAGCACGTAAATTTGAAAAGAAATCCCAATATAGAAAATTGGATATAATTATTTGTGAAATTAAATTTCAAGAATTATTTTGTCAATGAAAAAAAAAATACATCAAGTGAATTAAATAGTCTCATGAGCACATATTAATATTTGGTTGTCCGCTTTGGGACACAACATGAACCATGTCCTTAAATAAAAAAATAAAAAAAGAATTAGTGTAAAAAAAACTATTTTGAAGAATTAAAAAAGTGTGTGAAAAAAATAATTAAAAAAATAACAGAAAATAACATGAAAGAAATATCTTTGTATGGAGAATAAAAAAATAAAAAAAGATTGCCCTTTGCAATTTAAAAATATTAATTTCATTGCCTTAAAGGAATCCATAAAAGTGGTGAATCCTTCTTCCTTTGTCTTCCTTGCAATTCCTTTCTAAATTAGATTTTCTTGTTTGTCCTCTTAAGTTCCTTTTGTTTTGTCTAAAGTACCCTCCTTCATTGGCTTCTTAGTATTACACTTGAAAAGTCTGCCTACAAACCTTTAGACTATCCAAGATTTTGCAATTGTTTTTAGATAACTCAATACTAAGAGGTTTAAGACCATTAATGATAGTCTGAAAACTCTAAAGCATTTCATCAATAGTTTTAGTTTTTTTTTGGATGAACATCTCATAGTGTCTTTGAAGACTAACATATTTGAGTCTGACATTTTTTTTCATTCATGAATAATTATAATAGCATCATACGTGTTTATTTTTGACTTTAATCTATTCATCATAATCATGATCTAGTAACAAAATAAAATCCTTTAGAATAATCATAAAACAAACACATATTTTCATTAACATATAAAGATCACAACATCAAATATATATCAAGTTCCAAATAGAAAATTAATGAGGTCCTAGGGCCAAATATCTATCCCTTCAATCGTTTGTGATTCTAAACCTCACGTATTATTCCCACAACTAAAATTTTAAATTTGTCATGAGCTACAAACTTGCCTTTTTCCTTTTCTTAGCCTTCATTGATATTTTATCTGGTTTACCAATGTGTAAAGATCACATAGTCAATGACTTGATCCATAAACGAAACCTTCAAGCTTACCCTATTTTTACAAAAAGGACCATTATTCGATCTATATTGATTTTGAATCTATGAAGGATTGTGAACCTTCTCTTCTCTTAGGTCCAGAGGAGGACTCCTAATTAAGTCCCTCGATGAGTTCGATGTATGCCTATAGCCTATTGGTTAAAAGAAACTCGGGAATTATGCTGTCACTTATTAATGTTACTTGCACTTCCAATGTTTGAAACAATAGTTAAAGATATCCACACCATGCATAATTTATTAATATGAATAATCGATAAATGTACTCTTTTCAAAAATAGGTCAACTCATCGCACCTGAGAGCATGTTTTCACATAAATTTTGGTTGGAATTGAATCAGATCGCACCCTTAGAGCATGTTTGAATTTACATAACTTTGGTTGGATTTGGATCAGTGAAACAACAATTAATTATTTTTACATCAATTTTGATGTGATTTCTATATAAATGTGGATCATAGATGTGAAACTAAACATACACTTAGCATGCCAAAAATGAAGTGAAGCAATTTTATATTAACCTTGTAAAAGGACAACTCTCAACATTTATGGTAATTAATAAACATCAGTCATATCCAAAATCGTTGCAAGTCCAACAGCATCTAACCAAACAGATTTTGTACATTTATCATTTGTGTCTGGTCGACCATGATACGAATGATTAGGAGGGACAATACCACATAAATTAGTCTAATTTAACAGCATCGGTGATTCATTTGTAAATTTTTTGGATTCATGATTTTAAGTTGAATAGCTTGCCTCTATAACCAAGAAACAACATGGAAAGAATCAAGGAACAATGTCAACTAGTACAGATTGACAGCAAATACTTGAGACTAGCTTCCGAACAATATGATGATATCAACTGAAGGAGAGCGTTTTCAGATTTGCAACGCTATAGTCCCTTCAATGTTAAAGAAATCAACAGTTTAATACCTATTCTATTCGTGCCACCAACCAATGTTGGTGCTTTCATTCTGAGGGTGGTAGAGGCTCAGTAAAGTTGCCATGCTTTGCTTCTGCCATTTCAACTTCATAGGGGTTGTTATCTGAAGATTTCTCATCTTCCATTGCCATCCGCTTCAGTTTCTCCCGCTGTATGTCGCGAAGCTCATATCTGATTAGCAGCAATGAAGGGAGTCATATTTCATCAAAGCACGCGTTGGATATTTTCCCCCCTCCCTCTTTTTGTTGATTTGGTGTCCATGCATATGGATCAGTATAAGCATTGTGATTGTGTGCATGCCAAAAATATGGGGAGGGGAGGAACAAAAAAAAAAGCCAAATTCTCAAAGCAGTTACAATCTAACAAAATAATTAGCAAAAACTTCAAAAAAAAAAATCAGTTTTACTCGTTGGTAAATAATCATACATAATTGGCAAGAACTGAATTTATAAAACTTACTCGAGAACATGGCTCCTAGCAAGCTTAAAGTAAATTTTCCAGAATTGATTTTCCTTCAAATGGCGAGGACACAGTACATATCTCAGTTGAGATATTTCCTGAAATATAACCAAAACCAGAATTATTTATGGTACTAATTGTATAGCTTTGTTTTTCCTCTCTCCACACGCTAAAAGAATATATGTATTAATATTGTTTAGAATGAAGTCAAACCACAAAGTTATAACAAGATATACTAAAAACATCAAATGCACGTGTAAATGGGCCAGCATACATCAGTGACATTGGCACCACTCAACAAAAAAGCTATTTTACCCAGTTTTACATAATTCCAAATGCATATAAATACCCTATCAGAAAATATATCTGATAACAGTGAGAAGTTTATCAAAAGCATGCTTTTGTTTTTTGATATCAAAAGAAGAGGATAATGCTAGAGAACATGCTTTTGTTTTCGCTTCACACATGATGAAGAAATGAAGTCAAAGGATCAAGTTGTGTCATGTTGTAATAGTATAGGATTTAATCATTTTTATGTAAGTCTTGGTTTAGATGTTAGGGATAGTTTTAGGATGAGCCAAGTTATTCTCCCAAATCTTTAAGATGACTATAAATGGTTTAAGATTTTTTAAAAAACTTAAAATCAACCAAGTCGTAAATAAGTAAGTTATCATGCTTTATAGTTGAAAATCAATTTACTCAAATGTAATTGATTACTGGGCAGTGTGACCGATTATAGAGAACATTTGGTTTTTCACTAAGTTTAAAATGTTCTAATATAACCGATTATAGAACAAAGTAATTGATTACACGAGTTTCTAGAAAAACCAAAATACTTTGATGTAACTCATACATTGCAGGGTAATCAATTACAAGAGAGATGATGAAAATTTGTTGTTGAGATACAAAATCATGCTCAATCAAATTCTTTAAAATGGTGCATTAAATTTTCTAAAAGCTGACCATGTTACTAATGTAACCGATTACATGAGCAACAAGAGTATAGCTTGGAAACAAAAGTTATGTTTTAATTGATTACATGACGATGTAACCAATTACATGAGTTATAGTTGTTTTTGAGTAGCAAGAAGATCAATGTCATGGATTAAATGATCAAAGTAAGAGATTACATCAACACGGGAATTTTATATACAAACTCAACACATCTCATTTTTTAAGAGAGATTAGAAGAGTTCAAAATTCAAAAGTGAGTTTCTAGAAGAGAAAAACAAGAGTTTTTAAGAAAGAAAAGAGAGAAACCACATGTGAGCAAATAGTTTGTGAAAAAGAGAGAATTCTTCAAGAATCATTTCAAAGTTTTCCCAATCAAGAAGAGGATAAAGAAGTAATCAAGATGGTGGGAGAAATCTTGTGCTCATAAGGTTTATTCATTCCAAACTTGTTTTTGTTGTTTCAGTAATCTTTCTAATAGGGAATTGTGTCTCAACTCTCAAGATAGTGTTTCTTGAGTGTACAAGCTAGAGAAAAGGTCTCTAGTTAAGGGATTAGCAAAGGATTCATGTAGGAGTTATGGGAGTGCCCTAGGGTCTAGTTTTAATCAGTTATCCTCAATGTAATCACATTTTGCTTATAGTGGAAATCCTATGATCTATGGTTGATCATAGAAGACTGGATGTAACTTTCTGTGGAAAGTGAATCAACATAAATCTTTGTGCAAATCTCTCTCTCTCTCTTTGCTCATTGTATTGTTTGAATATCAATTCTTGCATGTGTTCTTGAATTTTGCAATGTATGTGAAAATACGTGGGTAATTGATCTTTGTGCTTGATTGGTAATAAAGATTTATAAAGATTAAGAATCTAAGTTTTCAAGAACTTGTTTTCAAAGGTAATTTTTGAAATCATAAATAAAGGGGTATAATTTTCCCATGCTAAAGTTTTAAATTCTTGAAAGTTTTTAAACACCAATTCAACCCCCGTCCCCCCCCCCCTTGCCTTTGTGAGCCTTGGGATTTACATAATCTTCATCTATAGTCTTTCACATATGCACTGTGCCAAAGCTCATTACTCAAATTTTGTACTAAACCGAGCAACTTAGTTCTATTTCTTTGCATATGCCCTCGTGAATCAAATCCTTAAACCTTATTTGAGGAAATTCTCTTTCTTATTTTTTGACACTACTCATTTACAATTGTTTGTCAATAGAAATAAGTGTACCTTTGGCTAGAAGAAGTTGTAGTATTTAGGCCATATCATCTCTAAACGTGGGGTCTTGGCATATCCAAAAAAAAAATACAGGATATACTACATTGGCCAACTCTTGTAGATGTGAGAGGATTGAGGGGATTTCTTGGATTAACATGGTACTGTAGGAAGTTTGTGAGAAATTAAGGTAAGCTATCTAGGCCCCTCACTCAACAGTTTAAGGAGTAAAAAATCGAATTGAGGAAGAAGCACAAACAGCATTTGACCAGCTCAAGGTAGCAATGACTACACTCATTGGCAATTCCAAACTTCAAAAAAAACATGTGATTGAGACAGATGCCTTAGGCAAGGGGATAGGTTTTGTACTTATGCAAGAAGGAATGCCAGTGGCCTATATGAGAAAAATTTTATTGAATCAGAGCCTAAATAAGTCGATTTAAGGGAAAGAATTGATGGATGTAGTCCTAGCAATGCAAAAATGGAGACATTATCTATTAGGAAGGGATTTTGTGGTGCACACTGACCAACAGCGCTTCAAGTTCTTGGCTGATAAGAGAATTATGGGGGAGGAATAACAAAAATAGGTTTCAATGTTATTGGGATTTGATTTTGAGATAAGTAAAAGTCTGGAATTGAAAACAGAGCAGTTGATGCCCTCTCTAGAAAATTGCAAATTGCAGTGCTATCAACAGTGAGATTCCATGAATGGGTCGAATTGGATGAGAAAATTTGTGCAGATGACAGATCAAGGAAGATTGTGCAAGATCTGATAGCTAATCCAGATGCTCATCAACAGTTCAAACTTGTCAAAGGAAGATTATATAACAAAGAGAGCCTAGTAATTCTCACAACTTCATCGAAATTCCTTATGATTCATCCATTGGAGAACATTTAGGGGTGGTTTTAGAACTTACATAAGAGGATTTTGGGATTATATTTTTCGAAAGGGATGAAGCAGAAAATTCAGCAGTATGTACAAGGGGTGTGTCAAAGAAGCAATCTGTTAGGAAGGGATCTTGTGGTGCACACTGACCAAAAGCGGTTCAAGTTCTTGGCTTATAAGAGAATTATGGGGGAGGAATAACAAAAGAGGTTTCAATGTTATTGGGGTTTGATTTTGAGATTAAGTAAAAGTTGGGAATTGAAAACAGAGCAATTGATGCTCTCTAGAAAATTGCAAATTGCAGTGCTATCAACAGTGAGATTCCATGAGTGGGACGAATTGGATGGGAAAATTTGTGCAGATGACAGATCAAGGGAGATTGTCCAAGATCTGATTGCTAATCCAGATGCTTATCAATGAATCATTCTCTTTAGTCTCTCTATAATCAATGAATCATTCTCTTTAGTCTCTCTTGGACTCTCTCTCTCTCTCTCACTGTGATGATTGCTGTTTCTCTAATAAAAAAAACTGGATCATTCATAATAATTAACAAAAATTACCCATTAGCAGGATTAATTATTTCTGTAAGCAAAGTGTGATATAGATAGTTTAACACTTATTTATCAGCTTAAGTATTCAATCAAGTTGGCATTTGGAAATAAATAGTATCAGAATTCAGAGGGATGACTTTCACAAAGTACAGGTGTAAAAGGAAATAAGAATTTTGTAAGAGATAAAAATTGGTACAGAAAGAAAAGAAAAAAATTGAAGGTAATGGAAAACAGAGGAAAAAGGAAAGCAAAAAGTGAAAAAAATACAACAATGTTAAAAGGAGCTTTCCAGTCCCTCTTCACATCAGATAAACACAAACCTCTGGAGAGATGAACCCAGATAAAATTACTTAGCACCACAAAGTTAGTTGGCCACACATGGGTAAGCAAGAGATATATTATAAATTAGTCATTAGCTATCATTGACTAAATTGTGACAAGATACTTATTTAGAATCAAAGGCTACTATAATCATTTAAAGACCACATAGGCAATTTAAAAGCACTACCTATTTGTACAAAGACTGCTGCCCTTTAAGCAAAATCTCAGGTTTAAGCCTCTTAAAAGGAAAAAATAGGATGGAGGAGAGCTTTACTCCTCTAAAAGGGTCCCCTTGACTTGACTTGGATTAGTTGAGACTCAATGTGGTTTCTTAGAAAGTGGGTTATCGCCTAACTTAACCCTAAAATCTGGCTAGTAAAGTGAGGATTGTTTCCCACTTATGTACTCTTTGTTTGCCATATCTCTAGTCGATGTGGGACTTAAATTTTTTTCCAATATACCGCTTCACATCCAATACTATTGAACTTGGTACAGGAATAGTGGGTGACCCTTTTTAATGATTTAAAATAGACACGAGTTAGATTTTTCTCAATCTTCCTCACATCCAACACTATTGAGCAATATTAGACTTGATGCGTGTATCATTGGTAGGTAACCTTTTTATAGTGGATTTAACATCATCTTAGAAAGTGGGTTTATGGTCTAACTCATCTCTACAAAACTAGTTTGTAAAGTGAAGATGGTCTCCCAGTTATATACTCTTTGTTTACCATATCTCTAATCAATGTGGAACTTGGGTTTTACTAGGTCTCTAACACAAAAAAATAAAAAAAAATAAAATTAAAAAAATGAAAGAAAGAAAGACTGCTAGCTATTCAACGGGATGGGCTCTCAGAAATGTAATGCAAACAGACTAGAATAGCAAACATGATTTCATAGATTAGATTAAGGAGTGTCATCAACCTTGCAATACTTAAAATACACACGAAGGTAAAGTCCTCCATTTCAAAAAAAAAAGAGCACAAGTAGTTTTACTCTTTAATAATTGAAGACAAACCTTGACTCTTGAGAGTATGAGGATTGCATGTCTCTCTTGCCACTGAGAGAGATCCTTTCGTTCTTTGGTTGAAGAGGATTGAGTTTGTTCCCCATTAGTGACTTCATCTTCATCTGCACCAAAAAAAAAACGCAGTTAAAATAAAATTTAAATAAAAAAATTGTTACAAAAAATTGATAAATGAAAAATAACACGGCATCAAAATTGGGTTCCCCCACGGAGACTCCGAAACCACAGCTTCCAATTCCAAGCAACCCAAGATTACTTATATGGGAATTAAAGAAAATTATATCATCTGAGGTTAGTGGGAAAACACAAACTACCAAAATTGCGAAAAATGGAAATTAAAAAGTGGGAACCATAAATCGCACTTAGGGGAACATATTAAAGGGAAAACCTTGGAGAGGGAAATTCTTAAAGGTGTCAAGGGTGAAGCACTTAACGTGGTTGATGAGTTCCACGGTAATCCCGTATATGTTGTCTTCTTCTTGCTGTACTTTGGAGTTGCTCTGTGTTTGGGTATCTGGGGTTTTGCTATTCCCGGAACTCCTAGAAAGGCTGCGTCTAAGCCAATCCATTTAAAGAGAGTAGCAATGTTGTGTTGTTGCGTTGAAAGAACCTGCCCTGCTTTGCATATAGGTTGTGATCGAAGTACCCTTCATGATTAATTATGTTATATTTACTTTTTACCCCATTGATCAAGTTATTGGCTGAAATCAGTTATTATTAACATTAATACATACTTCATATCAATAATTTGATTATATATATATTATATAAACAATTTATTTATTTCAAGAATAAGATTATATAGATTTATTTTATTTAATAATTTATATTTTATATTAAATTTTAATAATTTAATTGTTGAATTTTAAATTCTTAATGCATAGATTAAGTCTAAAAAAATTTAAAAAATTTGATAACCATTTAATACTTCATTTTAGTATTTCAAATTGATAAATAATCATAAAACTATTTATACGTTAATTTGAATTAATGAAATGAAGTATCAAGTATTTTTGAAATTTTTTAAAAATTTGTAAATTTAATTTATATATGCATTAAGAACTTTAAATTTATCGGTTAGATCGTTGAAATTTGATATAGAATATGAATTATTAATGGAGTAAGTGGATTCCTCCTCATACATTGCTTTGAATTAATGAAATGAAGTATCAAATGATTTTCAAATTTTATAAAAATTTACATATTTGATATGTGCATTAAGAATTTAAAATTCAACGATTGGATCGTTGAAATAAGTCTAATGCATATTCTACATCAAATTTTAACGATCCAACGGTTGAATTTAAAGTTCTTAATATTTATATAGGAGGGATCCGTTTACTCCTGGAATAAGTTTACTTAGGCTTACTTTGTTCAATAATTCATATTCTACATCAAATTTTAACAATCTAATCGTTGAATTTAAATTTCTTAATGCAAAGATCAAATCTGCAAATTTTTAAAAAATTTGAAAACCATTTGATATTTTGTTTCATTAATTCAAATCAATGTATAAAATAATTATTCGTTAATGTATAAAATAATTTTATAATTATCCGTCAATTTTGAATTAATGAAATGAAGTATCAAATAATTTTCAAATTTTTTAAAAATTTGCAGTTGATCTGTGCATTAAGAAATTTAAATTCATCGGTTGGATTATTGAAATTTGATGTAAAATATGAATTATTGAACGGAGTAAGTCTTAGACTTACTCTTGGAATAAACAGATCCCTTATATATATATTATCCTTGTAGAATATGAATTATTAAACAGAGTAAGTTTAGGTAGACTTATTCTTGGAGTAAATAGATCCCTCCTCATATATTGATTTAAATTAATGAAATGAAGTATCAAATGATTTCAAATTTTTAAAAAATTTGCTAATTTGATCTATGTATTAAAACTTTAAATTCAACAGTTGGATTTTTGAAATTTGATGTAGAATATGAATTACTAAACAGAGTAAGCCTACCCAGACTTATTCCAAGAGTAAACAGATTCCTCTTATATATATATATATATATATATATAGAAAGAGAGTTATAATAGCAGTGATGTAACTTTTACTAAGTATTACACTACTCAATAACTTTATATTAAATGTGAATTTTATAAATCTAACCGTTATATTGAAAGTTCATATCACTTTATATGTTTATATCAAATTTTGTTAAAATTGAACAACAACTTGAGAGTAATTAAAGTGTTCATATTATAATATATTTTGAAATGAATATATTACGTCAATTTTGTTTTAAAAAATGAAGTATCAAATCATTTTGGATTAATATAAAATTTTGTATATATGATATAAGAGTAAAAACTTTAAATCTAACAGTTGGATTTATAAAATTCACATTTGGTGTAAAGTTATTGAGTGGTGTAATACTTAGTAAAAATTACACCGATATTATTATAACCCATATATATATATATTTATATATATATATATATATATATATATTATTCTTGGAATTTCATTTTTAGTCTTGAATGAAAATTTGATTGGTCTTATGATTCTTATATTTGTTTAGTTAATAATACTTTTCCCCTCAAATTTTATTGTTTGGTGATTAGTTGACAATCAATCACGTATATAAATCAGAAGTTGTTGCATCGTCAACTAGTCTCAATCATGCAGTTTTTTTAAAATTATATTTTTTCTCAACAATTTTTTTATCCTCTTAGTTTTTCATCCTTTTACAAAATATACATTATGCTCAAGTTATGAAAAAGAAGACACATACACACACTACTAGTAAAAGAATGTTAATCACACAAATTAGTACATTCACAACAAAGTGCTTTGGTCCAAGATGTACCAATTTGAGTTTATATATATATATATATATAACAAAAGTATAATTCTTATCAAGCAAAACAGTATTATTCTTCCCATTCAAAAGTTTTTAATGCTCCACTTTAACCTTTTAACAAACTAAGTATTTTCTTTTTTTTATTTTCGACCACTAAAAAGTTGTCTCCAAATATGGATACATCTTAGTTGAACTTTGATGAATATTCAACTACCTCTTGTATGTTTTAATACAAGTAAGTCTTGGAAGAGAATGAAAACCTATTTTAACAAAGTTATTTTTTCACTTGAAATTGTTTACTCTCTTTTCAAATTAATCTTAAGACCTATATTTATAGTATTGTCTTTTAAATGATCCATTAAGGATGCTTAAAACGTGTTTTTCTCATTCCAACTTTTCATTAAAGGCTTAGGAAGGCTATCATGTTTTGCCAATGAAACAAGATTTTCAACTTGAGGATAACGGTATGGATAAGTTATTGTTCTTCATCAAAAAGATATTAGAAACTTCTAAAGGTGACACTACTTCTTATGAACATTCTACTTTTGATCTTTTTATTTGTACTTGCCACGTTGGTCACATTGTTTTTGTCAAAGATTGTACCTATACATAAAAAATAAAATAAAAAACATTATCTTTCATTAATTGCAAAGATATTCAAATGTTGTAACAAATCAATGAAGATAGTTTAAAATTTAGGGTTTAGGGACACTAAACTTACTACACACAAGGGTGACAAGATGGGTTGCCGATCAGCTTACCAAAAATTAGTAGAGAGGAGTAGACATTTCAACCTATTTAGTCCGCTCCACCTTGCTCGCCAAGCCAAATGGTTAGGTGAGTTAGGTCACCTTGTTTAATTTTTAAATATTTTTTAATTTGTTTTGTAACTTAATTATGATTTTATAATTATGTTTGTTAAATCAAAAATCTTATCTTTAAGATAATAGATGATCCCTTAAGTTTTAATATTGCCAAACAAAAGAATTTTTCTTTAAGCAAAAGTCAACATTCTTCGAAAATATAACAGATCAGACGAAATGTGAAGATAATATATATCATATGTAAGATGAAAGAAATCAAATGAAGCATACAATATGTCTGACTTGCATTAAATGAATAAGACTGACATTACATTTGCTTTAATGTGTTATTCCTCGATAGACCAAACAAAAAGGAACTTTGAAAGTCTCAAAGATAATTAATGAGGAAAAATACAAAATCTCTATGAGAAGCCAAAAGTGGAATCCCATATATCACGGAAAAAAGATTGAAAAGGATTTCTCTACACCAGCCTCAACTGCTTTACATTGACACTCTCTACTACACTCAAAAGTATAAGGAAATGATGATAAGTAGTTGCTTGAATCAGATAAGAGGCACACGCATCCTGATAAGCATTTAATGCTCATATTAAATACATCAATAGTACTCTCTACGATCAGCTAGGAAGACAGATGAAGCAACTGGTAAAAAAATTTGAACATTGCTACAACGGTCATGTTCTCCAAAACTACTATATAAAGATCAAACCCTCGAACTACAAAAAAAGGCAAGAAAAGGAGAACGCATACTATATATACATACACAAGGAAAAAAGCTATTGAATAATATATCAACATTCCTTGAGCAGTTCATTATGAAAAAGTCATTGAAATATTAAGCTGAAGCACTGCAAAAAAGATCACATTTGCAAATTATGTATTTAGATATATGTAGTCTTTTGTGTTGTATTTTGATAGCATCATGTCTAGAAAAGACGAAACTATACTTGTAACTCTTATCAAACTTATTTGTAAGAGTTAAGCCTGGAGAGACTTGTGCAAAAAAATACGTAGTGGTTGAGCTTGAAGAGGCTTGTGCTAAAGAATACTTGGGTTTAAGTCTAGAGAGGCTTATTGAAAGAATATTTGGGTTTTAGCCAAAAGTGGTTTGTAAAGAATAAATGTATCTTGCATAAGATAGTGGAGCTCAATCTGGTTAAATTGAGAACTGGACGTAGTCTCTAGATTAGAGACCAATCAGTATAAAAGTACTTGTGCCATTTCGTTTGCTTCATTACTTCATTTGATTACTCTTCAGTACTTCATTTGTTTGTATTCTTCACTCACTCACTGTAAAATGCGTGGGTTTTTGATATATATTATTCAAATCCCCCTTCTAGTATTTATCTTTCTCTCCAACAATGTTTATGCTTACTTTGTATATTTTGTGTTGTGTTATAGTCTTATTATTCAATGGCTATTAGTATTTGTGTTATGATTATTAAGGATTATTATAATTTTGTGTTGTCAAAAAAATTATTAGTAGTGATTTTAATTGATAGTAAGACTAGTAATATGTAATTTAATACTTTTGTGTTGTGGTCTTAAATTGGAAAGACAAATTTATGATATGAGTTCTCTAATTAAATTTTTTAATTGCTATAAAAATAAAATTTTCCAATTTGAATTAATAGAATATATATATATATATATATATATATATATATATGTGTGTGTGTGTGTGTGTGTGTATGTGTTTGTGCACATGTATGTGTGTGCTTAAATATATTTTTAATCTCTCAAATTTAAAATTAATCTTTTTAATTTTGTAAGTTTAAAAATTCTTGTTTTAATCTGCTAAGCGAATTTAAATGTGTTGAGTGGATTAGTTGTCTTCTGAATTATACTTTCTTATATTTTTTTTCTTCAAATATATAGCAATATATATAAGATTAGTTTATATAGTAATATATATAATATTGTATTATATATATTACAATGTATATAATATATTATAAAATTTGCATTCAATATTTTATCTCATGTATACTTATAATAATTTTGAATGACACATAAATTTAAGTATATTATTAATTAAAATATTAAGATAAAGAATTATTATTTAAATAATATTTATAAAAATATTTAATAATAATTTTTTAATTTTTAAGAAAAAATATTATAATTAATTCTGTATTACACAGTTAAAATTATATTTTAATTTAAAAATTTTAAAATTAAAACTTATTCTTTAAAATATCATAAGTAATTTTAATGAAATAGAAATTTTATTATTTAAATTCAACTTATATTTTTTGGGTAGTTTAGGGTGCATGCTGCATGCATCTCTTGTAGATTTTCGCATGATTTAATTTTTTTTTATACCTAAGTTTGTATATAATTATTGATATAGATTTTCTTTTTACCTAATTTTGTATATAATTATTGATTATTAATTTTTGATACATAAAATGACATGGGCCTATGCAGATTTTGTATTGAATACAACTTTAAGCCCAATAATTATATATGCCATATCGACGGCGTTACTGCACCATAACGCAGCACCCGATCTGTCTCAGGTTTTGCAGTGTAGATCACTTCAGAGGCGAAAATCACGTGACCCAGGTTCCAATCTTTCTCCCTTCATCCACAAATTTTCTCTTCTTTATTTCTTCGATTTGTTAAAATTAATTTTGCTTGTGGAATAGGGCGCGTTGTGAGGAGTGAAAGCAATGGCAATTATGAAGGGAAAGGCTGTGATTACGAAAGTGGCAGCGTTGGCCAAGTATGGGGCGCTCCCAGGAACCATGGTGTTTGCTCTCCTCTACTCTCCCCCTAATTACTCCTCTTCTTCCAACAAGCATGCTCCTGCCACTTCCAATTAGTCAACACATTCTATTCGGTTCGCCACTTCAATCCCTATGCATTTTCTGATTTTGTTTTTTTGCATGCTAGATTTCACTTTTTGTGAGTTGTTAATTCATGTTATTGTGTTGTGGCTCACAATAGTTTATTTAATTGGGTTTATCATTGTTTTCTCATGAGAAGTGGAGTGGAAATAGAGAGATCTTAAGTCACTGGAAATTTGATTTTTGATTTGATGAGGTGTGGAATTATTATTATGTTGGATCTGGTCTGTAAATTTTTTTTGTTCATTGCATAGTGGTTGTTTGAGTAAGTAGGTTTGTCTCACAGACCCTTAATCTGGCTATCACAATGTTGTTGCTGCATTCTTTATGTTTTCTTCTCGCCCTAGGATATAAGAAATCATTTCTGGGGTGTTGGTATTTTATTTATCTCCTGTTAGTGTTACTACTCAGTGGCAATTAAGTGCTACTTTTATGGATTACTACTCAGAACCGAGTTTTCTTGTGTTGTTAGTAATATAATAAATTTTTTTGAATATGTTTAATATTAAATGTACATCTAAATTGATATGGGTATGTGCTTGTTTGGTCTAAGGTTCTTAATATTTGATCATGTAGTGCATGTTATCAGTAGTAAATGTGTAATAATGTGTGAGGAAATGTTGGGAATTATTGACTGAGGAAGAAAATTAAAGCATTTTCAAACAGATCAACTCTGGTCATAATTCGTGAATGACGTTGTTGTGCAAGGGCCTACTAGGATTGTGCTGGGATGCCTTTTATAGTTAGAATTATGTTTTTGTTCAGTGTTTTAAGAAATTTTTAAGAAAGACAGGGCTTCCTCCCGATGATTCCATTAGTTATATAGGATCTATACAACAATTACAACCAATCCTTGACCTAATAGGAGGGTTTAGATACATGAGTCAATCAACATCAGTCTTGATGGAAAACCATAATTTTTTTTTATTTAACAAAATTCTGCAAAGCAAGATTGATCTCCCTTTGGTCATCAAGATACCTTTCTAATCATATTGCCTTCCGTTCATTCCTTCTTTCAAATTGGAGCTTTCCAATTGATCTTCTATTGTGACCAAACTACCTTTGTTTTCTCATATGTCCACCCATCCATGTCAGCATTCTGATTTCCTTTTAAAATATATGTTTGCTTTTGCTGGCACTTAACTACCCAACATTCTCAACCTAATTCTACTCTTGACATTTGGAAGTGTGAAGGTATTGGTAGCATGGAAATTTTTTGCGAGTCTTAATCATTTGGATAATTCAGGAGAGCCAAGGGCTCTATATTCCTTCATATGGAAGAGTTCCTCTGTTATAACTTCTTCCCCAAATTCTAGGGTTTTTAGCACATTGCTATGGGTTCCAATTCAGTAATACTTCCTATATTCTTCCTATTTGGTGCCTAACAATTTGGTACCTAAAGCCTTTGCTAATCTTGGAAAATATTTTTCCCATGGTCAAGTCTCGCATGGAGAAGAAACTTGATGTTCTGGAATTAGTGATTTCTTAGCTGTAGAATGAGCATGACAAAAAGGGGGAGTGATCTTTTGTTCATCTCTACAATTGTTGATCTTAAGGAAACCTTGTGGCGATTGGAAGGGTGTTTGGATGATTTAGTGGCAAATTGTGAGCCAGTTCGTCGTGAGGGATGATTAGAGGGCTCATCGTTGATTGTCATCGGCGACAACTGCTAAGAAAACAATAGTGAGCTACGACAGGTGGGATTTAGTAGTGGTGATGAGAGATGACTCATCCTAGGGGTACACGATGCCGCTAAATTGTGGATCTGTGACAAAGGTTGGAGCTGTTGTTGGCCATGTGCCAAGAGGGTAAGGTGAGGGACTATAAGAAGTTTGAGATGTATCCCAACCTTCTCAAGGTTAGTGAATGTTGTGACCTCTTTGGCCTATTTATCAATGGTCTTAGAGATAAGGTAAAGGTTGAATTAAAACTCCTATCCTTTCATAGTTTTGATGAATTTATGGATCTTGTTAAATGAGTAGAAGTCGTAATTTTATATTACAAAAATGTCCCAATAAACCAATAAATAGATATAATTTGGATTTTGTGTTTGGTAAGATTATGACGAGTAGAAGGGTTCCTGTTGGTCTCAGTAGGTCTAGTGGGGTGCCCTTTTCCAATAAGAGGAGGTTAGATGTGTGGGTTTAGGAAGCAGAGGTAGGGGCTTGAAACAATTATCATGAGAAATACCGAGAGAAGCGATTGAAAGGGTTGTGTTTGTTTTGTGAGGAATGATTTACACTTGAGCATGTGTGTAAAAACAAGAATATTAGGTTTATGATCATAGAGGAGGAACACGAGGTATTGGGGAACCCAGTGAGGCATGATGTTGTTGAAGACTTGGGGAAAAGGGCCCCCAATTATAGTTAGACTATCTAAGCATGGCTGGACAGATTTCACCATGCTCCCTTCAAAGATGGGGCCATGTTGTTGACCAATAGTGAGGGTTGTCACTGATATGGGAGCCTCTCACAAAAATAAGAAAAATGGGCTTAAATAATTCATCCCAAAAAGTAATCCACCCAAATAAAGTCAAACCAACAGATGCATATTTAGTATTGATTGTTGGGCTCATTGGACTCTCCAAATTATTATCCTTAAGTTGGCTGAAAATAACAAATGTGATAATTCTTGGATTGGTTGGGTTCTTGTTAAGCCGAACCTTTTTTATCTTGCAATTTGATGACAAAGCTTTGTAAAGCTTGTACAACTCTTCTAGTTGTTGCTCTAGTCCACAAGCCTTCCATCCATTGAAAAGATCATTTGAAAATTGAAATTATTCGTCCTTGATAGATTCTTATCATTCCCTTCCTCGTTGAAGAGATTCGTACTCGAATCTAGTTCATCATCTTGTTTTGCATATGGATCCCTACCTCATCAAATTGCTTTGCCCATTGAATCTATATGTTCAATTCTTCCTTGGGCATTAAAATCAAAAGAAATTATATGGTTTGATGCACAATCAAACTTACAAGAATTAAATCCAAAATCGAATTTATGAGAAGAATTTAGAGTCTTGTACTCCTACTTTAAGGACTCTTCTATTTTTTTTTTTTCACAAGAGAGTTGTCACTTTGAAACATGGGATAAGAATATAAAGCTTTGTAGTCATTCTTTGGAAGCTCTTAGTCAAATTCCTTGAGCAAAAATCATCATAAACAAATAAAGGGTTAAAATTATAACAAGAACAAGCATAGTCCTCTTTATTTTTTGCTCTATCTTTTTCACTCTCTTTTTCAATTATTTTCTTTTCTCTCAACTCTTATTCTTTTAACTCATTTTCTTTTTCCCTCAATTCTTCTCATTTTTTTTTCTCTATTATTTCTTTTTCCTTCACCTCTTTTCTCTCTAATTTTTTTTTTCTCAACTTAATTTGATCCTCACTTGATTCTTTAGGTAAAAGTGGTGCAAGTTTGATCTATGTCCTCATGTACAAAAGAGATCTTATTTGTGTAGCCATCATGTATAACTCTCCTATCATATTGCCAAGGCTTCTCAAGAAGCAAATGACAAGCCTCCATGGGAACCACATCACATATAACTGTATCATCATACTTCCCTATGGAAAATTCCACCTCCACATGACAGACATTTTACCATTTCACTATGCCATTGAAGCTTGTATGGTTACGGGTGTGGTTTTGTCTTTGGTCCCAATTTAGACACCATTGTAGCCATACAACATTGGTACAATTCCTTCCATCAATAGTCACCTTCCCTTAGATGAGACTCTAGTGTGGAAAATGTTCTCCTTTGGGCTCTCATCCATGTATCTTGCATGCCTTCCCAACATCTTTCTTACCATAAACAAATCTCCCTCTGGTACCATTTTGTAATATCCTTCTCTTCCATGTCTCCTAAGCCTCCTATCTGCTTCAACTTTCTCATGCCCTCCATCACTTCTATGACAAGATGAATAGTACATATCTATAAGAAAATGGCTAGCACAAATAATATAAATAGGGACCTCATCACTCAACTTAGTGTTTCACTCAAAGTTTATTCGTGTTTCTCTCTTCTAAGGCTTTTTCTATAATGTGGACACTTGCCTTTTACCACTCAATTCCTCTTATAAGTTCTTAAGAGAGAACCTTATTTATGATTTTTTAAAGATATCAAGGGGATAATCAGGTGACTTAGAATTTATTGTGCTCCTTCCTGCAGTTGTCATTCTCATAGTCTCCTCTGACTGTTTTTCCCTTTACTCCGTGAATTTGATTTTCTCACAATCACAAGTCATTGGTTATCTTTCTTAGTTTCTGTTTTCTATGATTTTAATTTGGATGATCTATTTTAGTCTTAGAGTTAGAGGTCTAAACAAGGTGTTTTAAGCTATGTTTTGCTACTCGAATGGAGTATTTTAAGTTGTTTGGTTGGTCATTTCAGTTTTGTATGAAGTTTAGTTATTGACTTTATTTTGCTTATAAATCTATAATTATGAATTGAAGCTTAAAATGGTTTTTTCCCTCTTATTCATGATATGTTAGATGCATATATAAAAAATTTATATGCATATATTTGGATTTTATAAATTTTGTAGACTCTTATGTATCATGTGATGATTCCACCAGTTACGATTCTGTGACCCTTTCCCGAGTCCAATTAGAATCTCGATGTTGACTACCTTGATTATACTTGTGGACTACTTGGAGAGATTTTAAAATTTATCGTGTCAATTTGCAAAAGGATCTTTAAGGGACTTGTACTCTTTTGCTGAAATAAATTAATATAAAAACATACTTCATTTAATTTTTATGGTGACTGCACAATGAACCTATATCATGAACCAATGATCCCAAAAGCTAAAGTTGTTAGGTGAAATCACAGGAATGGTTTTATGTTACATCTTTTTTTTTTTTGGTGTGTGATTTTATTACATCTCTAACAAGCCTTCTCGTGCAAGAGCCATTTGGGCTTGAAAGTTGATATTGTATAGACCAGCCTACCTTGTTCTAAAATTCAATTTTTTGATTAAAAGAACAAGGGAAGGTAAGGATTGAACTCTAAACCATTTGATAAAAAATGCTTGGATACCAAGTTGTGCATCGTCACTCCCCAAAGCTTAAGTTGTAGGTGAAGATACATGAAAGATTTTTTGTTTTACATCTCTAACAGCCATTTACTTTTATTTTGTTATAAGAAAGAAACAAGAGTAAGGATTGTAGTTGACAGGAGAATTTTAATCAACAAACTACTAAGACTGGACATTAAATCTATCAGTCCTCCAATTGTCTAAGGCCATAAACTAGCATTATACAATCCTTGGTAGAATTAATGGCCCAAACAACTATGATGCTATGACCTACAAATCTGGAAATTTACCTTAATTTTCTCTTCCCCTTTATAAAACTTTAGTAACATACGTATAATCTTAGTACTTAACTTGCACATACCTAATGCTATGAAATGCTTTATTAGTTCCTCTTAGTAACTTATGGATCCCTTGGAAGAGTTCAAGGAAGTCTTGCATAGAATCATGCATAATGCATGATTCTTTTGTTTCTCTACATGTATTTGTTGTTAGCATGCATACTTTGGTAACAGTGACTGCTGGGGAGACCTTGTAATCACAGTTATCCGAACTAAGGACCATGTCTTTCTTAGTTGCAGATCTAGTTATATGACGCCCAAATGTGTGCGTTGATTGTTGGCATTAATTATAATGATTTACTCTTAACAGCATGCACAGTATTTTATTGGAAACAAGTGCCTTTAAATTTTTTTCACAGTAAGTCAGTATTCATAGCATCATCGAGTAACTCATGTATGTGATCCTACTATATTATTAAAGTGAATTTGGGCATTTACACTTTCTGATGTACAAAAGAATTTGAATTAACGTTGTGTTCTAATAGTTTAATTTTTCTAATGGAACAGGGATATGGATTGCTTGTTGATGCAAGTTAGCAATGTGAGTGTCCTTTAATGTTTTGTAATAAAGAAGATGACTAGAGATTTTCTTGAAAATTTCACATTTTGGTTGTCTTGGGGAGACAATGTTTCTTCTGGATTATATGCAGTCAAAGACTTTTTTTTTTCCTGAGCAATACTGATTAAAAAATACAATCAATGTACGTAGCCCCATTTATTATCAACTTTTGTAGATTACCATTTTGAACATATATGGAGTTGGATCTTCGTATTCCTATTTGAGCATTTTACTTGATTTTGGTACTTAGCGCTATTATTAATATAGGACAACTTTATCATTTGCATTATATATCGGTTAATTTGGGTGGCTTATTGCTTTTGGTTGGTATAGTAAATGCATTGGGTTTTGAATGAACATCTGAATTCCAAACCCTTCACTACCTTTCCGTGGGTTTTTCCATGCTCAATGGACAGTTGGACACGGTTTTGAATAGGTTGTCCCTGAAAATCGTGAGACATATTTGGTGCATCTTTACTTTCACTTTGCGTCAACTTAGACGTGGATCGGACAAGCAACTAATTGTTGCTTTTGGTGCATTCTGACGAGAAAATGTGGAGAACAGATGCAGTACCGAACATGCACTTATTCTTGGCTTGGACCGACAATTTTTTCAAAACAGTTTTTCGAACTAGATTCTGTTACTTAAAGCGATTTCCGACCCAACAGTTACATAAAAGTTAATGTGCTGATTTTGCTGTGAAGTAATAGTTGTTAAAAGTAATATATGTTCTCATTCGGCTGTGAAGAGACTATAATAGCTTTAATGTGGCACTATGATGTGTCCTTATATGTGATTCTTTAATCTAAACTATAGTCTTTTATGTTTACTTTTCAACCCAACAAACGAATTTAGTTTAGAGGTTGTCTCACTATCCATATCTCTCATATGCGTCTACATGATGAAGTAATCTCACTTTCCTCTTATCTTAGATGGCAATCTTCAATGTGTATGAAGGATTACTGCCATTCTAAGGCTATTGTTATATGTGTTCTTGGGGTTCTTCTCTTGGTTTTTTTCTAAAAGCACTCTTACCTTGTTAGAAAACTAATGCATAATTTAACTTAATCTTTATCTCTCTTTCTAATAAGACTTATGTTGGGCTCAAGAGTCCAAACTCAAAGACTCATCTCAAACTCAGCTTATTTTTATTTTATTCTATTTATTGAAAAAATCCTTTATTTATATTATAAACTCAAATTAATTATTTAAACTTATATTGTAAATAATATTAAAAAATTATTTTATCTTTATTTTCAAAAAATTGGATGTTACAAGTAGTTCAACCTTGCTTAACATCAATCTCTCATATCTCCATCTTGTTATCACTATTAGCAAGGACTTACTCTTGCTTACTGTAAAACCCACAAGATCTCACTCAAGCTTTCTTTCTTACCATAGGTTCTCTACACTTAATGTCGATGATACAAAAATCTTTATGAAATAGGTTTTTCTACGTAATAATGTTCCTATATATCCATTCTTTATACATAATAATCCTATAGTTTCTTAAGAACATTTGACCACAATTTTAGTCAATTATGGCTTCCTAAGTGATGGAATTCTCTTGGAGAAGTCATGGTTGAATTCCTTTAAGATCATTCCATGCTCCTTAGGTTCCCTTCCAAAGATCCAAATCACCTGAAGAAATTAGAAAATGATGGAGAAGTTATGAAAGGAGGCATGCCACCTTCCAAGGGAGGATGAGCAAGATTGATGCACTTGCCATAAGGAAAGTTTTTTTTTTTTTGATGAAAGTGCTTAAGGAGAGAAATTCTCCTAAGAGACTTTTGAGAGATATTTGGGAGAGAATTTCAGAAAATCAATTCTCATTGCAATCAAAAGTGGCAGAATACAATGGAGTAAGACCTTAAATGGATCTTGGAAACTTACGGAGCAAGCTAAGTTAACCTAGGTTAAGACTTAACCAAGGTAGCTTAACCTTGGGTGAGCTCGGTGCCAATTTGAATTTGAAATTCAAATTTGGCTGGTCCTAAAACTCACTCCATGATGACATCATGCCAAGTCCTAAAGGAGTCAAGAGAAGTGTGGTAGGCTTAAAAGAAATAAGGTTTAAGCTCTTATTGAACTTTGGATTATTTTTAGTAACTTTCTCTTCTTTATTATATTTTCTTGATTTTTGACCTTGTATTTTAGGCTAAGTAGTGCGGGAATTTATTTCCTTATAATTAGTATTTTTAGAGTACAATTAGTATTTTGGGAGAGGTGTAACTAGAAAAAGGTATTTTGGACTTATTGAGCTTGATTGACCCATGAGAACATTTCTTGGATGCATAGCCTTTAAAGTTGACATCCACTTGGTGAAGAACAAGTGGTGGACGTGCACTTGAGAGGAAACCAATTGGTTAGATGTCAACATCAAAGGGAGGGGGGAACAAGATGTCTCATGGTTCATTCAACACTCTAACAAATCACATGACCTTATCTAGTTACACCTTTGATATCTTGACATGTGACAAGCTCTCATTGGTTCTTTTAGTCTTAGGATAGTGACATTCCAAACATGTAACTATAGTTGGTTAGCTTGAGTATTGTTGAGATGATGGAGATCATTTAGATGACTTGAAGACTCCTCAAGAAATTTTAGTTTTGATGATGTTTATGTATAGAAGGTGTTTGAGCCTATGCAAAAGGATATTGTATTGATTGTAATAGATATAGACTTGTGTGTGGTTGTTTATGATTGATGATGATAATGAAGGCATAATTCAAGAACTAATCAAGTTTTTTAAAAAACCAAGAATTTGTTTTTTTAGTATTTCCATGAATAAACATAAAGTAATAGATTATCTTGAAAAGGATAATTTACTACCAAGTGTTTAAACATAGAAATATGACTTGATTCAAACAAGAGTTTTCAAGGTAATTTTGTTAATCAATTACCATTCAGGGTAATAGATTACCAAATCTGTTACTATAAAAGAATATTTAAATGTCCTTTGTGTTAATAGATTACCATGTCTGTTACTAGAAAATGTTTTTCAAGTACTCTCTGAGGTAACAGATTACCAAAGTTGGTAATAGATTAAAACAAATTCTCTTGCTTGAAACAAGGCTGAAGAATCAAAATTTTCATCGTATTAATCGATTACCACAAGAGATAATCGATTATCACATAATGAAAGGTAATCCTGGATCTTAGAAAGCTCGGGATAATCGATTACCATATCCCGTAATCGATTACCCTAGAGATATTTGTGTTTCTGGTTCATTTTAAAGAGATGGTAATAGATTACCATATCAGGTAATAAATTACCTCTGTTATTACTCTTTATAACTGAATCACATCTTTCACTTTATAAAATCTATCCTTTTGAAATTAAAAAGAGAACTTTTTTAAGAATTTTTGAAAATCTTTTGAAAGAAAAACATTTGAGAAAAAAGATTTCTTTCAGAAACAAGATTCAAGGCTTATCAAAGAATTTTTCTGAAATTTCAAGAAGTGCAAAGATAGAACATGAGTTATTGAAAGAAGGAATTCAAGAAATGTATTCAAGAGTGAAAGGTCAATATTTACACGAAATTAGGTGATATCTTTTTGATCTTTAAACTTGTATTTTCGTTTTGATTGGTGTATCTCTTGAGATAGGGTGTCTCAACAAGAGATGTTGAAATCTTGAGTAGCGTTTCTCAAGTAATTTCTATGGGGTACAAAAATTTTGTTTGTTTTCAATCTTGTGGTGTCAAGATTGATGTTTGTTTGAATTCTTGTAATATTGTGTATGCAAGGTGTTTGTAAACAATATTATAGTAAATTATTTTTGATTTAGTGGGGTGCTAAATCAGGGAAAACTGGATGTAGGCCAAGTGGATGGCTGAACCAGTATAAATTTCTGTGTTCTTTATCTTTTTACCCTTATCTTTAAAGAATCTTGTTAATTTCTTGTTTAAAGGTTTTAAAGATTTTAAAGATTTCTGAGATATGAAATTTCAATTGTAGTACTAACTCTGATCATTATTCTTGTAATTGAAATTGATTAAAAAGAAGGTAATATTAAAATCAACCTTGGTTACAAGTGATTGTTTCGCTGCATTAACTTTGATATTCTGATACGTTGGTAATAAACCTTGTAATCTATTGTTCTTTGTTAATTCAAATTGAGTGAAGGTTGAATTTTAGATATCTTGGTAGGTCTTTATCAAGAATTATCGAAAAGTGAGTCATCTTAGGATAGAATCTATTCAACCCCCTATTCTAGATTCTAGTAAACTGAGACCAACAAGTACAAGTTAACTAACATTGGTTATACTTAACCAAGGTTAGAGTCTAGCTTGCACCATAAGCCAACCAAACTCTATATATACCTTTCTATCATATGTACATGCCATTTCTGAGCATTTTATGAGAAATAACATTGAGTTTTATTTTCCAAAATTCTAGTTCTCTCTCTTGGGAAAAATTACCTCCTTATGAACTTTTATCAAGGAATTCTTCCTTGTTGCAAGTTCTTCACATTTCTTGCTTATCTTCCTTGATGTGAGGCGCCTCTCTTCTACTCTCCTCCACCATTTGTAGATTTCTTTTGAGTTTTAAGATCCATGGAAGAAGATTGAGAGCAAATTAAAAGCTAGTTGAAGAGACACATCAACCATCTCCAAACTAGTTTCATCACTAATGAAAACCATTGGAGAGATGGTTGGTGAGTCCCTCCACTAGTCTCCATGTTGTGTCCAGTCTTCTTCCATGACTGAACAAGCTTTAGGAAAAACCAAAAATGGTGAAAAAAGGGAGAATATGGTATGCCACTTTCTATGGAGAAAGATAAGCAAGAAGTGTTAATCTTGCCACAAGGAGGAATTTCTTGATAAAAAATCTTAAGGAGAGATTTCTCCAAGGAAGAGAACTAAAATTTTTAGAAGAGAAAATCAAAGGTTTATTCTCATTTACATCCAAAAGTGATTCGGCCAAGGTACAAGGATACAAATATATCGAGTTTAGTTGGCTTATAGTGCAAGGTAGAATAAAAATGGTTAAGTGTAACTATGGTTAGCTATCTTCTACTTAAGCTAACCAACCCTAGTTAATTTTTTAGAAGCTTATGGAGCAAGCTAAGTTAATCCTAGTAAAATATAACCTACCAGTTAACTCTAACTACCTTGCCTAATCATCACAACTATCAAACTAATGATTACATTTAACAAGTTATTGAGATGACACTATTAAAGCCATGTAACTTAATTTGTAACTTGGATGACAAGCTTAGCTTGGTTTTGACGTTCAAACCACTTGCATAAGCAAGTAGACGTCCAATCCAAATGCATCAAAAGATGTTTGGGTTATCCAAGCTCAAATAAGTCTAACAACACTTAGCTAGTTACACCTCTTCTAATTTACTAATTACACCCTTGAGTAAAAATAATAGAAAGACAAAATTACCTACACTACTTGAACCAAAATACAAGGTCAAAATAAAGGACAATATTTACAAGAAAAATATACATAAAAAGAAGAATGAACTATGAAATAAGCTTATATCTCAACAGAAGCTTAGGCCTTCTACCTTCACCTTGAGTCCACTCCTTTTATATTCTTCTTGACATTGCCCTTGTGATAGGTCGTGTGGTAGACAATATGTCACTAATCACTCCATGTGCACCCATTTGCTTTTAGATCTAAGGAGGTTAAGACTTAATTTGCATGTCATGTGAGTTGCATTTGAATTTGATTTAAACATATCCATGTGTGCCCTCCACATGGTTGGTCACATGGATTGATCTAATCAATTCAAATGTTACTCCTAGGCCTAAATATAAATTGCACCTTTTAGGTCTAAGAAAATACAAGAGGAAAAAAAAAAAAGGTTCCTACACTACTTGACCCACAATACAAGGCCCAAAACAACTATACTACATGGCTCAGAATACAAGACCCAAACTAAAGCAAGTATTTACAACTAAATGGGAGGTATTGGACTTAAATGTCTAGTAGCCTATAACTTGAGATGAGCTTAGGCCTTTTAACCTCACCACAAGACCGATCCTCCTAGATCTAGGGGTGTTCATGGATCGGTTTTTTGAAAAAACCGATCCAAACCGAACCGAATCGTTTTATAAAAGTGGATCGGTTAACTGATCCATTTTTTATAAAGTGGATCGGTTTGGTTTTTCTAAAATATGGATCGGTTTTTTTGAAATTGGATCGGTTCGGTGCGGTGCAGTTATCCACTTTTTTACTCACATATGGATCGGTTTTTTTAGAAAACCAAACCGAACCGAACCGATCCACTTTGTAAAAATGGATCGGATAACTGAACCGGTTTTATAAAGTGGTTCGGTTCGGATTTTTTTTCAAAATGGATCGGATTTTTCAATATGGATCGGTTCGGTTATGGATCGGTTCGGATCAATTTGGATTTTTTGCACACCCCTACCTAGATCCTCTTAGCCATAACTGTAGTAGTAGGACCCTTGGCAATGCCTATTTCATCACTAAGACATATTCAACAACACTAAAATATCCAATAATCTAACATACCAATTTTCAAAGGAATACACTAACATACAAGAAACATCGCAACACACCAAATTTCAAAGGAATACGCTAACATACAATTCAATCAATAAATTAACCATCATACAAAATAAAGGACTTGGGAAACGTCACATTCCCCTCATACTCAATCATGCGATAGAAACCAATTGGTGTCTAAGGTAATCACCTATAGCTGAAACCCAAGTCACACTTGTGAGTGAAACAATCTCACTCTCTCTTTACTTGAAAAACGAAAAACTTGACAAGAGATTTGGAGAGACGCAACCATGTTTTTAGAGTTCTTTGTTCTCCGACGCAACAACTTTAATGACACAAAAGTTTCCAGAACCAAGAAAGAAAACAACTAAATTAGGTTTAGAATCTAAAGGTTTCTTAAAAAGAGTGCTTCTTGGTTTACTAGGAAAAAAACTCAAGCTTCTTAAAACAATATTTTACTTAAACCCTTTTTATTTTCTAAAATCTCTTTAATTATGAAAATTCATTTGTTTTAAAGCCCACATATTTTTATAATTATTTAATTAAAACTATATAGCATATTATTTAATTTAGAAAAACTGGGATGTTAAAAGACTAATCCCCATTGAAAAGCCATCCTTAACAATTTTCTTTTGAAAGACATCAGCTGAGCATTTTGTTTTATCCATTTGGTTGTTCGAATTGATTTTTTATCATGATTTATATGACAATTATTAGATGTTAATATACCGAATCATAAACCAGCCCTCGATGCACAACAAAATTATTTTAATATTAGAGAGAGAGTGCCAATTAATTTTGAAACAAAATAAAAAAAATAATATAAATCAACATGCTAATTATAACGGGACAAACATCATTGAAAATGACTATCATTTGTAGAAAAAAAATGTCGAAAGGGAGGGAAAAATAAAACTGCCAATTATGACATTGTTCTAGGTTGAATTGATTTATTATAGTAAAGAATTACCAAATTTATACAATTATCCAAAATCCATATAGATGCTAGAGAAATGAAAAATGGCTAAAGTACTGTAGTATGCACCAATTTTCCATTCTTGCATTTTTCTTTGAGAATAAACAAATATTTGATGTTCGTTTTATGCAAACGCAGTGTTAAATTACAAAAAAAAAAAAAAAAAAAGAACAAAAAGAAAAACAATCCCATGAAGCTACAGTTCTTGATAAAGGAGAATCATCCACCACAATTGAAGCCGTGACACACAGAAAGAACAATAATGAGAATCAAGGCAATTATGATAGCAAAAACTATTAGCTTGATTTTCATGTTCTGATACCACATCTTTCTCCTCAACTGGGTTCCTTGCTGCCTGAAATCTTGTGCCTATAAAACCATGCAAACTAAAAATCTTATTACAATCCTCATTGGAGTTTCAACATCAATATGCTTGATAAGTGACAAAAAAGACTTGGAAGGTGATTTAGACTTGGGCTTAACCTAACTTTGTGAGGTGAAGGTTGTCTTCACATATATACTAGTTTGCTTATATTATTAATTGATGTAATCAAGTTATAATACATAGATTAAGTTTATAAATTTTTAAAAAATTTTAAAAATTATTAAATACTTTATTTTATTAATTCAAATTGATAGATAATTATAAAAATATTTTTTACTTCGATTTGAATTTATATAATGAAGTATCATACGATTTTTAAATTTTTTTTTAAAAATTTGTCAACTTGATTTATGCATTGAGAATTTTTAATTTAATAATTGGATCAATAAATTTTATATTGAATATGAATTATTGAGTAGCTGGATCTCTCCTTATATATATATATATATATCCCAATTTTAGAATACTACTGAAATATAATAAGTCTAAATTTAAGCATCATCTCATTTTGTTAGAAAGATAATTCAAATTTTCAAATTCAAATCTCTAAGATAATATTTAGATTTTAAAATATATTTTGTAGAATTAAAATATGTTGTATTTATTTTAGAGATCTGTTTCTCCTTTTAAGATTAAAATGTTAAGTCAATAAATAAAGACTTTTGAGATGAGAAGAATTATATAAACTATAAAGGAGGTCACTATCTTAAATGAAAGAAAAGACCATATGAGGAGGGTTTACCAAACTTCACCCACAAAACTTATGTTGATGGTTTCCAAGTTGCATCTAGACAACTTGTGAGGAAAGATTTTAAAATTTAACCCACAAAACTTAAATTTTTTTTCTTCAAGATATATGTAATACATTTTGAAATATATAATAAAGATCTTTGTGGATGTAAGCGTGAAGAATCGAATTACTTTAGTAAATTATGTGATTATTTTCGATCTATCATAGTATTGTTTTAATGCGTTTCACTATGTATAAAAAAAGTTTTTTTTTTCAACAATGATTCTCATTTAATATTAATAAGCCAAATACTCTGCAACATCTGCTCCATCATTCTCCTAGTTCAATTTCCCTAACAATTTATGTGAATACAATAAAAATGATCTAACCTGATAGCGAAGATTCTCTGTTTTGTCCACTAAAACCTCAATCTTCTCTCCCCTGTCAAGAACCTGCACATAAGATATAATACAGTGATTGGCCACATTCATATGAAATTTCAGTAACCTCATTCAATTGTTTTGTGAAGAAAGAGGGAGATAAACCAATTAACTTTTCCTTTGACACCCTCAAATTTCCCCCAAAAATTAAAGACAGAGGAGTCTCGGACGTTAAAAAGAAAAATAGAAAATGCAGGAGATAATTATTAAAAAAACCACAACTTCATGGAAAACGTAGTGTTATTTCTCAAGAACTTTTTTGTCACACATTTCTCACGCACACAATTATTTAAAACAAAAGAATCCAGTATCTGGAAATTTCCTTAATTTTATATTATCAATGAATTAATTCCAATTAGTACGTTTTTCTAGGTAATTAACAATGTGAGAAGACTGTGTAAAAAAGAAGTTAACATTTTTCCATAAATATAGTGGTACTATACCTTCTCAATGTTTTCCATCATAACTTCTTTTACTTCAGAAACTTGAGCTTTCACTTTTGCAAGTTTGCTAACCTCCTCTGGATGTTCCACACAGTACTGCATATGCTCTTTCAGCTTTGGTCTAATATACAAAATGAAATTTCATACTAGTAAAGGGGAACTTTATTTTATAGGGTTTCATGGTTAATGGTAATTCACTGGTAATGTAAAACAACTATATACCTTAATCTAATTATAATTCAAAAAAATAAATAAATAAGTTTGTTGACTTTTATAATATTTATTTTAAAAATTATACAAATCAAATTTTTTTATTGATTTTTCATTTATCAAGTTCTAATAACTGATATATTTCTATAAATAATTGAAATTCAATTTTTTAATAGATATCCTTAACTGATTTTTCACTATTTGTTTTCGTCTTTTTATTAAATCACACGAATCTATTTATCCATAAGTGTAAGCATTAAATCCTATTTTATATAACAAGGTAAGCACGAGTACCCAAATTCTTTGTTAAGACTTTTAGCAACTGCTGTTGTAGCCTTTCCTCCCCCATATCTTTTAGTAAAATCCTCCTTGATACGTTCAAGAAAGGCCATTGTAATCTGTCTACCAACAGACTCCACTGCCACAACACAGTAAGCTGCAAAATATAGATCATGTCAGTGAAATTAACTAAGATCAACAACAAGGAAACCTAAAATTTATTTTAATCATCGAAATATTTATGATCGAAAGCAATATCTACTTTTTTAAGGGACTGTGGATATTCATATAAATATAAATATTTTTGTGGAACATAATTTATTCCATATTTAATATTAAAATTTTAAACTCTAAACAAGTTGATTAAACTATGTCACTCATGTCAATTATATAATCTTGATCAAAGTACACTACAAAAAAATGTGTGATTTGTGGCGATTATTTTGGCAGTTTCGGGGGGTTAAAACCCGCCACCAATTGAATTACCGGCGTCGTTAATAACCGCCGGATCTACGGTCGCCAAAAACCGTTTGCAGCGTATATGTTGTAAACGCTGGTTTTGAGCGCAAGAAAATTCAATCTCTTGGTGTCTCTTCTACATTTTCCACTTGTATAGACTGTAACATCTTTAGAATTTGGCTCATTTGTTCTTTCAGTTGATTGATATCATTCCTCAATTCTTCGTTGCGTTCCTCTATCTCATCCATGATCTTAGCCTAGGAGCGTGTCCTATAACGATGTCGAGGAAACACTTTGTTGTTTTTTGATTTTCTAAATACACAATGAATTTATGAGTATAAAAGAAAAGGAAGAAAAAATAAATTTTGGAAAAGATTGATATTGTATTCAAATTGAAGAACGATTCCCCACATCTTAACGCTATAGTCAAAAACCCCTTAATTATACAAGGGTTGACACTTATTTCAAGGGAGCATTCACTGCTCAATGGATAAGGTCATCTTACTAACAATGCAGCAGTTGTAACACCCCAGTTTTCAAAAAGGTTATCATTATTATTATTATTATTATTATTGTTGTTGTTGTTGTTGTTATGATTATTAGATGGTATTTGGTCATAATTATTTTAATAATTAAAGAAGAATATTATTTTTGTACGTATTAAATAAGTATTTTTATTAGCATTTTTAAATGAATATTTATATGTTTTAAGAGAAGGTTGATTTTATATGATATTTTGTTGTTGATATTATATTATTATATTTTGGGGTCAGAAATATATTATTATTATAGAGGAAAAATATTTTATAATATACATGTATTTATTTTATTTAATTATTTTGAGGAAAAAGATAAGTGGGTTAGAAGAGAAGGAAAATGGGTTGGGTTGACCCAGCCCAATGGATTAATTTTAAGAAAAGAGCCAGGTAGCGTTAACCCTATTCGACTCCGCCAATCTTACAGAGGCCGGATCACAAAACCGACCTCCTCCTCTACTTGGCCGTAGCAGAAAGCGCCATCAGCGCAGTTATAGTACAAGAGCACCAAAAAGTGCAAACACCGATCTACTTCATCAGCCGAGTCCTCCAAGACACGGAGAAGCGGTACCAAATGATCGAGAAGCTTGCACTGGCACTTGTCACCGCAGCTCGGCGCCTCCGACCCTACTTCCAGAGTCACCAAGTGGTAGTCAAAACCGACTACCCCATCATGCAAATCTTGCGACAGCCCGAGCTCGCCGCACGGATGATTGCGTGGTCAGTAGAACTATCTGAGTTCGGCATCTAGTATGAAAGTCGCGGACCCCTGAAAGCCCAATGCCTGGCTGACTTCGTAGCCGAGCTCACGCCTACTACTGCCGAGGAACCCCAGGTATGGACTTTACACGTTGACGGGTCCTCCAACTCTAAGGGTGGTAGTGCAGGTATCATATTGGAAGGGCCAAACCAAGTCACGTTGGAGCAATCCCTCAAGTTTAGCTTCAAAGTGACCAACAACCAGGCAAAATATGAGGCACTCCTCGCAAGACTGAGACTAGCCCGCGACCTCGGAGCTTGAAGAGTAAGTTGCAACAGCGACTCGAAGCTCATGGTGGAGAAACTCAGCGGAACGTACCAGGCAAAGGATACTTTCCTACAACGGTACTTCCACGTCGCATCCCACCAAATCTCGTCCTTTGACGAGTTCACCATACGGCATCTGCCTCGAGAGCAAAACACCCGAGCTGACCTCCTATCCAAGCTCGCCAACACCAAAAGGCCTGGACAGCACCGAACCATCATCCAGGAAACCTTGCACTCACCCAGCTTGAAAGACAAAGTCGTCAACGTCAGCGACAGTGAAGACCTGGGGTGGATGACAGGCATCTACGGTTACTTTAAAGAAGAAATCCTGCCCGAGGATAAGGACGAAGCTCGGAAGATGAGGATGAGATCGGCTAAGTTCATCATTATTGGGGATTAGTTATTCAAACGTGGCGTTTCCACTCCACTGCTAAAGTGCTTGACTACGCCTCAAGCGGCCTACGTCATCGAGGAAATTCACCTGGGCATATGTGGCATGCATTCCGGAGCACGCTTAATGGCGACCAGAGTACTCCGAGCTGGGTACTACTGGCCCACTATGAAGTCAGATTGCCAAGACTACATCCAAAAATGCAAAGCGTGCCAGCAGTTCGGCAACACACACCGGCAACCACCCGAAGCTCTTCACCATATGATGTCAGCGTGGCCTTTCTCCCAGTGGGGAATGGACATCCTCGGGCCCTTCCCCCTTGCGAAAGGTCAACTGAAGTTCCTCCTAGTGGCGATCGATTACTTCACCAAGCGGATCGAGGCATGCCCACTCGCCAAAATCACCACTAAGAACGTGCAAAGATTCACCTGGAGGAATATCATTTACAGATTCGGAATCTCTCACACCCTCGTTACTGACAACGGCCGACAATTCATCGCACAGGGATTCGAGGACTTCCTCCGCGAGCTCGGTATCAAGCATCTTCCGACCTCGATGGAACACCCCCAGACCAACGGCCAAGCCAAAGCAGCCAACAAGGTCATCCTCCGGGAACTTAAGAAACGGATAGGGAACGCCAAAGGACAGTGGCCCGACGAACTTCCCAGCATCCTCTGCGCGTATCATTGCACTCCCCAGTCAACCACGCAAGAGCCGCCTTACAGGCTGACCTACGGAGCTGACGCAATGATCCCAGTGGAAGTCGGAGAGACGTCCCATCGACGCCAAGTTTTCAACAGCAAGCAGAACACTCAAGAGTTGGCAGCTGACCTCGACTTGGTTGACGAGCTTAGAGACGAAGCTCAAATCCACGAAGAAGCCTGCAAGCTCCGAGCTTCCCGAAGATACAATACCCGAGTGAGACCTCGCTCTTTCCGAGTTGGTGACTTGGTGTGGCGATTGCTAGGCGAAGCACGGAAAGACACATCAGATGGGAAGCTTGCGCCCACTTGGGGTGGCCCATTCCGAGTTACAGAAGACTTGGAAAATGGAGCGTATAGGCTGGAAGAACTCAGCGGGAAACCTATACCGCGAACTTGGAATGCTACGCATCTCAAGTTTTGTTCACACTTGTGTTCACACTTGTGTGAACACTTGTGTTCACACTTGGAAAAAATTCATGGAGTTTCTTAAGCTTGGAAGCTTGAAGCACAAGCTTCTCCTTGGCTAGGAAACAACTTAATCAAATAAAATCAGTTAAACTGATTTTGTTAAAACAAGAAACAAATATCATCATCTAATATTAAGGGAATGCCATATAAAAATAATTTTTTTTAAGAAGATAGATATTAATGATATTAATTGTTCTTACCGGAAATCTGCTGTAGAGCTGATCTGCCAGGTAAGATCGGTGAGCCTCCTTCACTGGTACACTTGTGTTCCAAGATGGGGGTGGTACCTGCAAAAGAGACTCCGATGCTCAAGTTAGTGTTTGTGAGAATATGAATCTCGTATAAGTAATGCACGTACCTTGGTGTGAATTAGGGTTGCTTTGGGCCTTGGGCCTGAGATAAGATCAGATAGTGGATCTCGTCTAGAGCGGGATCCCTTGAGATCGGTTATGATCTGCTTAAATGCCGAGCTGACGCCACGTGGCGCGTGTCCGAGGTTAGCTCGTGCTGTGGTACCGAGCTCGGAGCTCAGCTTCGGAGTACGGATAGTACATTAATATTGATTAAAATTATTGTTATTATTATTATTATTATTAACTATTATTATTATTATTAAGGTTACGTTATAACCTAATATAAAACTACGTAAAATATGTTGTACGTATATATTAATTACGTACGCTTCTTGTTATATATACAAGAAAAGAAAGAAAGAAAAGAAAATATATAATATTAAGGGTTTGAAAAGAAAAAAATAAAATAGCAAACACCGATCTACTTCATCAGCCGAGTCCTCCAAGACACGGAGAAGCGGTACCAAATGATCGAGAAGCTTGCACTGGCACTTGTCACCGCAGCTCGGCGCCTCCGACCCTACTTCCAGAGTCACCAAGTGGTAGTCAAAACCGACTACCCCATCATGCAAATCTTGCGACAGCCCGAGCTCGCCGCACGGATGATTGCGTGGTCAGTAGAACTATCTGAGTTCGGCATCTAGTATGAAAGTCGCGGACCCCTGAAAGCCCAATGCCTGGCTGACTTCGTAGCCGAGCTCACGCCTACTACTGCCGAGGAACCCCAGGTATGGACTTTACACGTTGACGGGTCCTCCAAGTCCTCGAATCCCTGTGCGATGAATTGTCGGCCGTTGTCAGTAACGAGGGTGTGAGAGATTCCGAATCTGTAAATGATATTCCTCCAGGTGAATCTTTGCACGTTCTTAGTGGTGATTTTGGCGAGTGGGCATGCCTCGATCCGCTTGGTGAAGTAATCGATCGCCACTAGGAGGAACTTCAGTTGACCTTTCGCAAGGGGGAAGGGCCCGAGGATGTCCATTCCCCACTGGGAGAAAGGCCACGCTGACATCATATGGTGAAGAGCTTCGGGTGGTTGCCGGTGTGTGTTGCCGAACTGCTGGCACGCTTTGCATTTTTGGATGTAGTCTTGGCAATCTGACTTCATAGTGGGCCAGTAGTACCCAGCTCGGAGTACTCTGGTCGCCATTAAGCGTGCTCCGGAATGCATGCCACATATGCCCAGGTGAATTTCCTCGATGACGTAGGCCGCTTGAGGCGTAGTCAAGCACTTTAGCAGTGGAGTGGAAACGCCACGTTTGAATAACTAATCCCCAATAATGATGAACTTAGCCGATCTCATCCTCATCTTCCGAGCTTCGTCCTTATCCTCGGGCAGGATTTCTTCTTTAAAGTAACCGTAGATGCCTGTCATCCACCCCAGGTCTTCACTGTCGCTGACGTTGACGACTTTGTCTTTCAAGCTGGGTGAGTGCAAGGTTTCCTGGATGATGGTTCGGTGCTGTCCAGGCCTTTTGGTGTTGGCGAGCTTGGATAGGAGGTCAGCTCGGGTGTTTTGCTCTCGAGGCAGATGCCGTATGGTGAACTCGTCAAAGGACGAGATTTGGTGGGATGCGACGTGGAAGTACCGTTGTAGGAAAGTATCCTTTGCCTGGTACGTTCCGCTGAGTTTCTCCACCATGAGCTTCGAGTCGCTGTTGCAACTTACTCTTCAAGCTCCGAGGTCGCGGGCTAGTCGTAAATGATGAGAATGCATTAAAATCATATATATAAATTCAATGTACTACCTATTATGGTTGTGAATTGGTTGTGGTTAAGTAGTTAGTATATTTATAATAGCGGTGAAAAGATAGAAAATAACTAACACATAATTTAATTTGAAAGAACAAAAAATAAATAAGTTAAGATTCAGAATTTCGTCAAAAAAAGATGCTAATGAAGAGTTTTATAAAAAAAGATGGGACATCTTTTTTGATGAGATTTCAAGCTAGAGTAATGTAATTATTAACATTCTTTTTTCTCCTAATTTAAGATAAAAATAAAGATAAATAGAATAATATCAAACCAAACTTGAAATTTAAATATTAGTGTTGTCCTCTCTAAAATTAAAGTATGAACACAACTTAATTCTAGCAGTTTAGTCGCTGTGCATCAATAAAAACAAATTTTATTACAATTAAAATTAATAATACAATGTTAACAAAATAGTTTTGTTAAATCGTTGTTTTATCTTCTAATATTTTTATTACCGATAAGTAATAATATCAAAGTTTTGTATAACATTTACTCCCTTTATTCTTTATTATAAAAAAAAATTTGATTTTAGGCATATTAGGAAAGTTAGAGATTTCAATCATCTGTCTCATCATTATGTCTCAATTGGTGTTCCACCAATAAAAAATTGACACGTCATTTAAAATATTATATCACAATTTTTTTTAATCTTTTTTCACATTATTCTATTCATCCTTCTTTTTATCTTAGATTAGGAGAATTTCTTTTTCGTCTAAAATGCATGAATTTCATGAAAACTTTCTTCAACTTGATTTTGAGTCACTGTTGATCTTTCTGAAAATATTATCAAGAATAATTTAAGTAGATCAAATCAATTAACAAGAAAAAATTAGCTCTCTTTTTAATTGTTCATATAGAATGTATTACTTCGTTTTTTTGTCTATCAAGATGAAATTGTGGTTAATCACTCTTTTATTTGTGTCACTGAGTTTTTGTTCATTAACACATGTACTACCTATTATGGTTGTTGGTTAAGTAGTTGGTATATATTTGTAATAGTGGTGAAAAGATAAAAAATAACTAGTACACAATCTGATTTGAAAGAACAAAAAATAAATAAGTTGAGATTCAGAATCTCATAAAAAAAATCACTAGTGGAAAATTAGCATATTACGTTACCCCTTTTACGTCAGAAATACGAAAATTCGACGTAAAAAAAACGCGGTGACATTTTTGTAATTTTTGCGAACTTTTTACGTCGGACCCTACCAGGTCCGACGTAAAAAAGAACGCAAATTTGAATAAGAGAGCGCGAGGCACACCGCGCCCATTCACTCCATCACTTTTCATTTTTTTCTCTCTAAACCCTCTCCCTCTCCTTTGTTACTGAATCGTTTTTTTGTCTTTTGCAGAGGAATGAACTCTTTGTTACTCATTTGCACATTGTTGCTGCTTCTTAGGTATGAATCAAGGTTTCGTTAGCACTTTTCTACTTCGCATTGCTACTCTCGCTATCTGTTTTATTTGATTTTTTGGTTGTTCTATTTGTGTAGGTAGTGGGCGTTTTCTTTTGGGTTGTTATACGAAGCTGAATGGCTTGTTCTGCAAGTAGAACGGCCTGTTCTGCAAGCAGAACGGCCGCCGTTCTGCTGGCATTTTTATGTTTTTTTATATATTTTTTTCCCTACTTTTTTACGTCGGTTGTCTTAATGTCCGACGTAAATTTACGTCGGTTTTGAAGATCCGACGTAAAATTTACGTCTCCCGCTTCTACGTCGGTACGTTTTCTGACGTAAAAAGCTGAAAATGTCCAACGTAATACACCTCTTTTGTACTAGTGAATGTTAATGGAGAGTTGTATGCAAATAAGTAGTTGGTATATTTGTAATAGCGGTGAAAAGATAGAAAATAATTAGCACACAATCTAATTTGAAAGAACAAAAAACAAATAATTTGAGATTCAAAATCTCGTCAAAAAAGATATTAATGGGGAGTTGTATGCAAAAAGATGAGACATCTTTTTTGGTGAAATTCTGAGTTAGAGTAATGTAATTATTTTAAATGTAATTATTAACATTCCTTTTTTCTCCTAATTTGAGATGAAAATAAAGATAAATAGAATAATGTAAAAAAGGGATAAAATATAGGTAAATATTTTAAATGACATGTCAATTTTTTATTGGTGGGACACCAATCGAGACATAAACAGAATCCCTTTATTCTCCCTAATTTGAGATAAGAATAAGAATAAGTAAAATAATGTAAAGAGGGATACAAATATAGGTAGATATTTTAAATGACATGTTAATTTTTTATTGGTGAGATACCATTTGATACACAATGATGAGACAATAGTAATTTGAATCTAAAGAGTAGTTATCTACATCAAAATTTACTACTTTTATAATATTCTTCTTAAACTGTCATTGTTATAAATATTAAAATAAGTAGTGCAATTGAAAAATCATGCATTAAAGAAGAGATATTACAGAAAAAATATCATTAAATAAGATAAAGATAGTTAAAATTTATTTATATTCAAGAATAAAAATTATGTTTCTTTTTTCTTATAATAAAAAATAGAGGAAGCATAATTCTCTATAATTCACATGTATTCCTCTATGTAAAACTAAATACAAGGTAAAGGTGAGTAATAATAATATAAGAATAATATAGATTAAACGTTACATTTTTTTTTTATAGATTATATGTAACTTTTATAATTGTACTTCAGTCAAATAAGACTATTTTTATTTAAATATACACAATCCCTTCTTGTATTTGAATGTACATGATGCTCTAAAAAAATGAAGTGACCTTTTTATATAAAGAAAAAACTGGTATTTTAATCTTAACTATTCACAATAACATTCAAATCTAATGATAAATATTTATTTTTCTAACTTGCTCTCCCACATAAAAATGACTACAACCTCTCTATATATGTCACCCCCTCCCCCACCCCCAAAAAAAGTGGCTGTGTATAGAAAAGATTAGATATTCACACAAATTTAGCCCATGCTTCATACATGATTATTCAATAAAATATAAAGAAAGAAAGAAAAAACTTAAATCCAATAAGAAGCCAACTATGGATAAAGTCAACCACTCCAATGATCATTCTCTATCTACTACTATACTGATTTTACTGATAAGTAACAAATTAGATTTTTTATTTATTTATTATAAGTAACAAATTAATTTTTAGTTTTCATTAGAGGGAATAAAAGGAGGTTAAGAGAAGAGTGAATACTGAACTAAATCCATTATGGAGGAGGTAGTTGAAGGTGTGGGCGTCGCAGTTGTAAGTGAAGTTGTTGTTGGAAGCAGGAAGCTTGTGAAGGCACTGGAGGGCTATGGTGGTGAAGTTGCCGCTGAAGTCACTGTGCTCTGCCAATATCACCGTCCCACGCGCCACGAAGCTGTAGATCAACGATTGCTGCCCCATCCACACAGAACAAGAGATTCGTTGAGTTGACCAACAAAAGAGATAGAGAGAGAGAGAGAGGGGACGAAGTTGTCAACTTTGGGGGCTTAAATATTAAATGGACACATCAGAGGACAACCTTGGAGACTCAATGAGGATGTAATAAAATAACAGGCTGTCTAATTCTAGAGAGGGTGTTAGAGTAATTAGACTCTCTTTAGTGCTTGAATTTAGAGGTTTAGAGGATAATGTGATATTAGGTTATTTTAGATTAAAAAATTATTTAAAAAGTTTATAAAATATTAAATAAGTTTTTATATTTGATTATTTACTGTCATTGTGTTTCCTGAATGTATATAAATATTATTACTTTAATCACATAAATTTTGAATTTAAAACTAATCTAATTATCAAAATTAAAAATTTTATTGACATATTTGACAAATTTTTGTGTGTATATTTTTAATAAAAAGTTAGGAGTGTTAAGCATCACTATAAAATCAAGGCATTCCAACAAGAGTGACATCCCAAGGCCTATCAATCATCTGTAACACATCTTAAATAATATTAAAAAAATTAAATTTATAAAGGGACTAAATCAATAGCCATGATACATTAATGTTAAATCAAAAAATCTTATTTTAAGACTACAGATGATCTCTTAATTTTTAATGATGACAAACAAAAAGATTTTTCGTAAGCAAACAAAAATTAACATTCTTCGAAGATAATACAGATTTTCTGAAAGGTGAAGATAATACATATCATCTCTAAGTTGAAAGAATTTAAACGAAACACATAGTCTATTTGATTGACATTAAATGAACACTGTTATATATTATTGACATTACATTTCATTTAATGTGATATTCTTCAATAGATTAAACGAAAAGAGCTTCTTAAAGTCTCGAAGAACATTAATGAGCAAAAAGGCAAAATCTTCGTGAAAAGCCAAAATGTACAATCCCAAATACCATAGAAAAAAGACTATAAAGGACTATTCTGCTCCAGCCCCAACTGCTCTACGCTGACACTTCTATACTACACTCAAAATGGAAAGAAATGTTGATAAATAGTTGTCTCGATTAGATAAGAGAGACACATCTTTGATAAGCATTTAAAGCTCACATTAAATGCATCAACAATACTCTTCAAGATTAGTCATGAAGATAGACAAAGCAACATATGAAGAAATATGAGCATTTAAATTTAAGTGTTATTGCAATGGTCATCTCCTTCAAAGCTACTATATAAAGATCAAGTCTTCATACTATAAACAAAATATAGAGAGATGTGATAATTTTTCAGAATACATTGATACAAAGAAAAAGCGTACGTCATACATAAAAGATCAATATCCATTAAGCAACTCAAAATTGATCAAACGCCCTAAAGAACAAAGATGAAACACTACAAAGAAGATCTTCATTGTAATTTTTGTATACAATTCTTTGTAGTCTATTTGTGCTATATTTTCATAGCATCACGTCTAGAAGAGACGAAGCTATAATGTTAAGTCAGACGAAGCAATTCCCAGTGAGTTTTGAATATGACAAATATAATACAAATGTTATTACTAACCTGTGTGGTAGTGTTTCAGATAAATATAAAAACAGGCAAAACCAAAGCATGAAGCATGGTCGAACAAAACAAAGATCAATCAAACCAAGCCAAATGATAGAAGGATCATGAAATGTGCGCCAGACGATAACGAACATCAGACGAAGATATGTCAAGAACAACCTAGAGCGCAACACAAGAAATCAGACGCATGGCCTAAACAAATATCAAACAGGAGCAAAACTAGACCAAGACAAACGTTGGCTTGGCACCAAATAAACATCAGATGAAGCTCAATGGTCAACTACACAAAGGTCAACAAAACAAATATCAATCGATGGATAACACAAGACGAAGAAATGTTCCAGACAAAATTAAAGTCATCCATCTTCACGATTGATCAGACAAAAGGAAAAGTCAAAGTCTAACTCTTAGACGGAGACTCAAATTCTAGACACAAACTAGGAATGTTGAAAAGCGTTTAAGATCCACTATTCACAATGAGGAATATCACATATCGTCCACATTTACAAGAAGTATACACGAAGTCATCAAGAATGTGATATGAAAGAAGAAAAGTAGAAGAGTGCGAATCCAAAAGTCAAAGCTGCGTATATCAGGACAAGTATGTAACGACCCACCCTAGGCCGTCACATCAATAACCAACCAAAATAAAATAATATAAAATAAAGAAAATAGAGAAAAAGCCAGCTACGCTAGAGTGTAAATATACAATAACATATAAATTGTTTCCAAAATATATAACATAATCTTTTATAACAGAGTCATCATCCTCAGTAAAGTTATACAGTAATCCAAAAAGATAATATAATTACAACGTCATGAAAACATCAAAATAAGACACCCTAGGTGTTGGTCAAGCTCTAAACCTAGCCACTTCTCAAAGCAGCTATCCAAAAGACTCCTTGCTATCCCAAAGCCTCATACCTGATCTGCTCCCCCACATAGTGAGATCATCACAGTCCACATCATGGAAATATAAGGGTTAGCACATATAAAACCAACCATAGTACATCATAATAAAATATCATTAAACAAATATTTATCTACAGTATTTATCCAGACCAACAAGTCATTTTCAAGCTAAATATAGACCAACCCAAAATATAATGTATACACGTCCATGCCAATGTATACATATTTTATGATAATAAAATAATCCATAACCAATGTATACAATCCATACCATATGTATACATATTCCATATCCAAAACAAAGTCACACCACTGTATAATCCATGATGTAACCAACACATCCAAACCAAATGTTGGCCTCAACACCATCCAAACCAAGTGTTGATACGGTGAAACATGTCATCAACCCATGTCCCACACCTAACCTCTCATGGAAAATATACAGTTGGATTACGTCGTCACGTAACCCTGGTGAGGCCACCTCAACCATCGGTATGACTCGGCCTAGACCCATACCGGTAGCAAATAGAATACTTAAAGGAGTACTTCAGAATCCACCTAACATCTGAAGTGGTTTATTATATAACCTTTGGAAAAGTTCCACATTGGAATCCTCACCATGGGATTCCCAAATTCCATATTTTTCCAAAGATTATATCCTGATCTCACCAAGAGATCTAATCCATACCATAACCTTACTCCTTTAAGTCCTATTTACTTTTCCAAACCACATACACATAGCATATTCCATAATTAAACATAACCATAACCATGCCAATTTGTCAATATAATAATAATATAAATAATTAAATATTTAAAACAACCATCAATTGATCCAAATTATACTATGTGAAATGAAAATCTCCACATAAAGTAGCATATTAAAATTATACTATTCCTATCATGTTCATATGTACTAGATTAATTTTATAAGCACTACCCTTACTTGGATAAACCTGAACTGAAATTCGGGCAGAACCTCCTCCTCTCTTTTCCTTAGATAAGAACTGAAACTCGGGCAGAATCTCCACCTCTCTCCTTAAACAAGGACCGAAACTCGGGCAGAATCTCCTCCTCTCCCTCCTCTTTTCTCTCCCCTGGCAGAACCTCCTCTACTGGATTCCTCTTTCTCTCTCCTCTTTTCTTTTCTCCTCCTCTCTCTTTCTTTCTCTTTCTCTCTCCTCTTTCTCTCTCTAGGATTCTCTTCTCTCCAGTTATAATTTTTCACTCCCTACCTCCTATTTATAGGCAACTTGAGTTACCCGGAACGGCCGTACTGAATTCGGAACGGCCCGTTCCTAATCCTTCATATGTACGCAAATTTTTGAACTGGAACGGTCCGTTCTAAATTTGGAACGACCCGTTCCCAAAAAGCAGAATGGCCCGTTCTAAAATCAGAATGACCCGTTCTGAGACTCATCCAGAACGGCCCGTGCTCCTTCTAGAACGAACCGTTCCAAAATCAGAATGGCCCGTTCTCCCAGTTGGAACGGCCCGTTCTGAACCCGTTCCCAACTTAAAATTTAGTGTCTTTTTATTGCTTGGAACGGCCCGTTCCAATTTTGGAACAACCTGTTCCAAGTTACCCATTTACCCCTCAAACTTTAATAAAATTGCGAAAATGCCATTAATAGAAATTACAAAAATACCCCCTTTAAAAAAATGAATATTACAAAGTACATCTACTTTTCAGGAAAAGACAACGCCTTCGCAGCTAAAATGACGGAAAAAGGACAGATGTACCTAGGTCATGATTGAAGTTAGAAATAAAAAGAAACAAATTACGCAAAGGACTTCACGTAACACAGATTTGGAAAGCAAACATTTAATGCAAGATCAAACGCATTAAATGAAAAAGATCTGTGTAGCCATGAACAAACGAATATCTGCACCAACGGGAAGCTCCGCTTCAACAGACACATTCAAATTCAAACAATGGCCAGATTTATCACAAGGCTATAAATATCAAGATCAGAGAAGAGCAAAAAGAGAGAAGAGAAGCAACAAGCAATAAGCAAAAGCAAGAGTCAAAACAAACTTACATCTCTTCTTGTTCAGATTTGAATACCTGTGTAAAACTAAGATAGTTTATCTTAGTGAGTGTAGAAACTACCCCATCCTCTCTATGAGAGTAACACACACACTCAGAATGGACACCCTTGTAAAACTAAGGTTGAATACTTTAGTGAGTGTAGAAACTATCCTATCCTCTCTGTGAAAGTTATACACACTCAAACCATTCATCTACTATAAAGCCTGAAGAGGCTATTTGAAAGAATACTTGGAGAACTAGAAGTGGTTTAAGAATACTAGCGTCAGTGAGTGAAGTTGACGAACTAGGAGTGGTTGAGAATACTAGGGGAACCAGAAATGGTTTAAGAATACTAGCGTTAGGGAGTGAAGTTGACAAACCAGAAGTGGTTGAGAATACTTATAATCCTTATTTGTGATTAGTGGAACCCTTCAGTGGAAGGAGACTGGAAGTAACTCAGGACAAGTGAACTAGTATAAAACTCTGTGCGTTATTTATTTATTTTACAATCGAAAGTTTATTTATATTGGTATATCACATTGAAAATTTTCGTCCACTACTTATTTTCTAAACGATATTCAAACGAAATTGCAGTTGTTCGACTTAAGAAACTATTTTCGAGTAGACGATAGATTTTCAGACGAAAAGAAGTCCCTTTGCGAAAACGTTTTTAAAATCCTTCGTTCACACACATTCAACCTCCCTTCTGTGTGTTTTTCGCTAACTTCATATAATTGTAACTCTTGTCAAATTTATTTGTAGGGTTGAGCCTGGAGAGGCTTGTGTAAAAGAATACTCAGTGTTAAGCTTGGAGAGGCTTGTGCAAAAGAATACTTAGTGTTGAGTGAAGTTAGACATGAAAAACACATAGAAGGGGGTTAAATATGTGTGTGTGTGTACGAAGGAATTTTGAAATCATTTTCGCAATAATAATATACTTCGTCCAATGCACTTTTGAATATCAGACAGTTAGGCAGAATTTGGTTAACACAAAGTCATTGCGTCTCGACTAGAAATAAGATAATTAAAAAGTATATAAGTGGATGATAACTCTCACTTTACAAGTTTGTTTTGTAGGGTTGAGTTAGACCTATAACTTACTATTCTAAGTTGGTATTAGATTAGTCACCATTACCAAACTAAATACTACTAAACTTGAGGGGGTGTATTGAGAAAAATCCAAATCTCACATCGACTATATATAGATAAAATAATTAATTAGGAGATAAGACATTTAAAAAAATAAGAAAATTAAAGAATATATAAGTAGAGGACAACCCTCATCTTAAATGCCACAAAAACTTATACACTTTTCCTGATCATTATAAGGGTCTTTACCAGCATGCAAAATAATTGTCAGTAAATGTTTTAGTAATACTGCATATAATGACTAATGTGGAAACGCTGGTAAAAGATTTTGCAGCAATTTTTATTGCCAATAAAAATCATATTAAGTGTCACTAAAAGTCCATTTTGTTGTGGTGATTTTTTCTGCCATGATTAATTTTTATCAGTAATTGCCTACATAAATAAATTCAACAAACTCTTTTTATATATGTATTAATTAAGCCAATTAAAATGTAATTTATTTATACACCCCCACCCTTTGAGATGCCTCCAACGTAGCGAGGAGATTAGTCACTGCTATCGGCGGTGGATACTCCAGGAACGAACCAAAAAAAAAAAATGAAGTCATACATAAACATAAGGAAACTAAGTTCGAGAAACATTATTATGTGCAAATTACTAAAAGGGCGTTTAATACATATAATATTTTTATTTTTCTAAGAATCTTAAATTGAAAATTTTGATTTTTCATATTTGGTAGTTATTTAAAAAAAAGATTTCCAAGAATATTATTTTCCATAAATTATTTTTATCTCATTTTCCTATAAAAAATAATTTTATGATAAGGGTGAGAATCCAATGTTTTCGAGTTAGGGTCTTAGGGAAAAAGTTTTATGTACATAAAAATATTATAGTACGATCTCTTTTAAGGTCTCTCTTTCTCCCTTTCTCTCTTTCCACAGTATTTTTTGTGATTTTACGTTAGTGCCCGAGGGTTTGTTGATTTCCTAATTTTCTGCTCTTTCATATGCTTTCTCTCTCTCTCTCTCTCTCTCTGTCTCTCTTTCTCTCTCTCTCCCCCTCCCTCTCCCCCTTTCTCTTTCTCCCTCCCTCTCCTCTCTCTCTCTCTCTCGCTCTCTCTCTCTCCTTCTATTTCTCTTTCTCCCTCTCTCTCTATCTCTTCCTCTCTCCTTCTATTTCTCTTTCTCCCCCTCTCTTTGTCACTCTCACTCTCACTTCCCTTCTCCCTCCCATATCTCTGTTTCTCTTTCTCTCTCTTTCTTATATCTCATTATTTCTTAACCTTGTCAATTTTAATAATATTATTAAAGTCTATTTTATTTCTATAGTTTAATAGTATTTGTTAATACTTTATTTATTTATTTATTTGAAATGAAATGAAATAATATATGTTTATCTTTCTTATTTGTTATGTAACATTTTTCTTTGTTTATTTCTTTTGTTGAATTTTGTATTTAAATTATTTTAACTATAAGTTTTCAACTTTTAAAAATAGTTTAATGTCATATTTGTAATAAGATTTGAGTAATGAAATTATTTTAATTAAGGATATTTTTGTAAAAAATATTATATACCCAAAAATCGGAATCAAATATGAAATTTTTTTATTTCTGGGAACCCTGTATGAATATTCTTAAGAATTTTTATGAGTAATCAAATAGATTTTAATTATTCATAGGATCTCAGCATTTGTAATTCCTTAGATTCAAGATTAGTGGGTATGAAAAAACTTCTTCCTTACCAAACGCCTTCTAAATGTTGATGATTTTTTTTATTCATCTACAAATTAGTAGGAAATAATCCTAGATCACATAGTTCCTAACTAGTCTCTATATGACATAATCAACTGTAGTTATTATTTTTTCATAGGTTGAGATACACTTGGCGATTGGAACTACCAAATATTTTTTGCATCAACTTCGCTATTTTCAGTATAGCAGTAGAATTTCTGGGAATATCAAAGTAAAATTTCTGGGAATATCAAATTAGGTACATAGAGCATTAACTTCTGAAGTTGATTTCCACCAAACAAAGAAGACTTCTGAAGTTGACCGCTAATTTGCTTAAAGAACAGTTCTACCATCCATAAAATCATAGAATATTTTACTTAGATACTTTCTCTTCATAGTTCCAGCACCACAACTGCAAATCCAACGCAAATGTGATAAAGTAAGGGTTAGTTGTTGAATATGGTGTGGCAAATTTAGTCCCACATCGAATACGTCAGCGACAGTGAAGACCTGGGGTGGATGACAGGCATCTACGGTTACTTTAAAGAAGAAATCCTGCCCGAGGATAAGGACGAAGCTCGGAAGATGAGGATGAGATCGGCTAAGTTCATCATTATTGGGGATTAGTTATTCAAACGTGGCGTTTCCACTCCACTGCTAAAGTGCTTGACTACGCCTCAAGCGGCCTACGTCATCGAGGAAATTCACCTGGGCATATGTGGCATGCATTCCGGAGCACGCTTAATGGCGACCAGAGTACTCCGAGCTGGGTACTACTGGCCCACTATGAAGTCAGATTGCCAAGACTACATCCAAAAATGCAAAGCGTGCCAGCAGTTCGGCAACACACACCGGCAACCACCCGAAGCTCTTCACCATATGATGTCAGCGTGGCCTTTCTCCCAGTGGGGAATGGACATCCTCGGGCCCTTCCCCCTTGCGAAAGGTCAACTGAAGTTCCTCCTAGTGGCGATCGATTACTTCACCAAGCGGATCGAGGCATGCCCACTCGCCAAAATCACCACTAAGAACGTGCAAAGATTCACCTGGAGGAATATCATTTACAGATTCGGAATCTCTCACACCCTCGTTACTGACAACGGCCGACAATTCATCGCACAGGGATTCGAGGACTTCCTCCGCGAGCTCGGTATCAAGCATCTTCCGACCTCGATGGAACACCCCCAGACCAACGGCCAAGCCAAAGCAGCCAACAAGGTCATCCTCCGGGAACTTAAGAAACGGATAGGGAACGCCAAAGGACAGTGGCCCGACGAACTTCCCAGCATCCTCTGCGCGTATCATTGCACTCCCCAGTCAACCACGCAAGAGCCGCCTTACAGGCTGACCTACGGAGCTGACGCAATGATCCCAGTGGAAGTCGGAGAGACGTCCCATCGACGCCAAGTTTTCAACAGCAAGCAGAACACTCAAGAGTTGGCAGCTGACCTCGACTTGGTTGACGAGCTTAGAGACGAAGCTCAAATCCACGAAGAAGCCTGCAAGCTCCGAGCTTCCCGAAGATACAATACCCGAGTGAGACCTCGCTCTTTCCGAGTTGGTGACTTGGTGTGGCGATTGCTAGGCGAAGCACGGAAAGACACATCAGATGGGAAGCTTGCGCCCACTTGGGGTGGCCCATTCCGAGTTACAGAAGACTTGGAAAATGGAGCGTATAGGCTGGAAGAACTCAGCGGGAAACCTATACCGCGAACTTGGAATGCTACGCATCTCAAGTTTTTATTTCAGCTGAATTTTGTACGAATGACATGTGCACTCTTTTCCCGCCTCAGTCTTTTGTCCCAAAAAACAAAAAAATGGGTTTTGACTAAGAGGGTTTTTAACGAGGCACATTTACGTAATCAATAAAATGACTCATTCTGTTCAATTCACATCCTTTTCGCATTATTTTATGTTTTACGCTAAATAGAGGTCGAGTTCGAACCAACTTCTTTCGCCCCCACTTAAGGTCAAGTTCGAACCTTCACAACGTGTTACTTGACAAAAATACAAGGTCGAATTCGAACCTTCGTACAATTCACTCTACTTTAATCCGAGGTCGAATTCGAACTTCGGTATGCTTGAGGTCGAGTTCGAACCCTCATAAGAGTCACCTACCAAAAAATCCGAGGTCGAGTTCAAACCTCAGCATGATCAATTCGAGGTCGAATTCAAACCTTCACAAAAAATTACTCAACGAGAATCCGAGATCGAGTTCGAACCTCGGCATGATCAATTCAAGGTCGAATTCGAACCTTCACAAAATATTACTTAACAAAAAATTGAGGTCGAGTTCGAACCTCAGCATGATCAATTCGAGGTCGAATTCGAACCTTCACAAAAAATTACTCAACGAAAATCCGAGGTCGAGTTCGAACCTCGGCATGATCAATTCAAGGTTGAATTCGAACCTTCACAAAAAATTAACGAAAAATTGAGGTCGAGTTCGAACCTCATCATGATCAACTCAAGGTAAAGTATCACCAAGTATAAAAGTATACAACAGACATTGAACGCGTGTCTCAAAGCGCGCAAACAGCAAAAATCAAGCCTAAACGCAAAGGCAAAGGAGAGCGCAAACGCAAATAGACAAAGAAAAACATACATGTACAAGCAATGTTTCCATAGTTCTACACTTGAATTCAAAACAGAAAAATAAAGCAGAAAAAATTTAACTAGGCTATGTCAAAATTGGCCTACGCAGAGGCATTCTCACTAGAGTTGTCCTCGAGGTCGTCCTCCTTTACCAGCTTCCCAAAGTGGACTACTTTCTCCACGTGCATGGCAGAGAAGTCGAACCCCGGGGCAAGAAGCCTTGCTTGACGAGCTGCCTTGAGGAAACCCCGCTTATGCTCAACCACGATAGCTCGTTCGGTTTCCTCTAGCTTCTTCTCCAGCACCGCCCTCTCCGCCTCCTGCTTCGCCAGCTCCACTCTCAAGGCGGTGACCTCCTCCTCTTTGCCGCCAAGGACGACCTCATCACAGAGGCACTTCTCAGTCGCAGCACCAGATCACTCTTCAAGGAGGTCACCTCATCCTCTAGGGAGCGAACTCGACCACGGGAAGACGTCACCTCGTCTTCCAAGAAACGCACCCGACCTCGGGATGCGGTGGCAAGTCCCTGAAGCTCGTTCACCTGGGAAGCATAGTTCTCGTTGGAGCGCAGGGCGATCTCCAGGGATTTCTGAACCCTTGCGAGGTCCCCCGTCGCACTTCGAAGCTCGGCACCCTGCAACTTCGCCTCACCAAGGGCAGCACTAAGAACCTTGTTCTTCTCCTTCAGGGCCCTGTTTTCGTCCCTCAAGGGTTGAACTCGCCCCTCAGTCGGACTAGATCCTCCTGCTGCTTGGACCACCTATGTTTCGAGTGGTCCACAATGGCCATAGCCCTCTGCAGAAGGACCTGAGCAGCGTCAAAGCTCTCCACGGGCCCGGCCCCTTCGATCATCTCCTGATCATCCGAGCTCAGCGAACCCTTGGGGAAGAACTTCTCGGCAGTCACCCCAGCGCTCCACAGCGAGTCCATGTCAGCCGAGGCACTCACGTGGTCCAATCGCACCTGGGTGAGGCCCTTCCCGAAGCGGTGAGCTATGTATTGGCTCCGAGAAGCTCCCTGCGATGAACCTAACGGCGCCGCCGAGGTTGTAGGTGCAGTTGTGGGCACGGTTACTTTAAAGAAGAAATCCTGCCCGAGGATAAGGACGAAGCTCGGAAGATGAGGATGAGATCGGCTAAGTTCATCATTATTGGGGATTAGTTATTCAAACGTGGCGTTTCCACTCCACTGCTAAAGTGCTTGACTACGCCTCAAGCGGCCTACGTCATCGAGGAAATTCACCTGGGCATATGTGGCATGCATTCCGGAGCACGCTTAATGGCGACCAGAGTACTCCGAGCTGGGTACTACTGGCCCACTATGAAGTCAGATTGCCAAGACTACATCCAAAAATGCAAAGCGTGCCAGCAGTTCGGCAACACACACCGGCAACCACCCGAAGCTCTTCACCATATGATGTCAGCGTGGCCTTTCTCCCAGTGGGGAATGGACATCCTCGGGCCCTTCCCCCTTGCGAAAGGTCAACTGAAGTTCCTCCTAGTGGCGATCGATTACTTCACCAAGCGGATCGAGGCATGCCCACTCGCCAAAATCACCACTAAGAACGTGCAAAGATTCACCTGGAGGAATATCATTTACAGATTCGGAATCTCTCACACCCTCGTTACTGACAACGGCCGACAATTCATCGCACAGGGATTCGAGGACTTCCTCCGCGAGCTCGGTATCAAGCATCTTCCGACCTCGATGGAACACCCCCAGACCAACGGCCAAGCCAAAGCAGCCAACAAGGTCATCCTCCGGGTCAAGTATTTAGTTGATGGCATAGGTACTAGGACAACAAGAAGAGAAGTATCTAAAATATAAAGAGAGAGAGAAAGGAATACAAGAAAGCTTACATTCAGAATCTGTGGTGATCCAGTTTTCTTTCCTACAAGGGATGCAACCACTCTCTTTATAAGGGATGTAAATCTGTGAATGCGAAATATTGGTTTCAACATTTTCAGACCAAGTAGCTACTGGGTGGACAGAAGAAGTTTCCACATCCCACGTGAAACTGATCTTGGGTGATTCACTGCTAAGTTGATCATCATCTGGAATTGCTTCTATGTTTCCTTGTCTTCTAAATTGTAAAACCTGTAAGAAATTTGATGATGCCAACAATTAATTAAGATTTTTTGGAGTGAATTCACCTGAGAAATTACATAGCTGATGATTACATGTTAGAAAAGACACAAACGTTTAGCTGATACAACACTTCCAACAAAAATTACAGTCTGTATAACTTTTAAGTTAACTATTATAAAAATTAATAAATTTATAATTTATGTGAATTATGATTAGATGTTTAGAATAGCATTGTATTACCATTAAAATCATTCTTTTTTTTTAGTTACGTGTCACTAAAGGGGTTCAAAAGATTTACCTTTTGTTCATAGAAATTTTCTCTTTTCTCTGATTTTGTTGCAGCAACCCTTCTAAGCAGCTCTTTCATTCTTGAAATAGGCTTCTTTCTATCACCTTTAGTTCGATCCTTTGTTTCAGCGGTGACACGTTGGTTATTTATTTTAGTTGTTTTGGAAAATGATGCTTCAGTTATGGGGAAAACCTTTTTTCCTACATGGGCAGCAAAATCTGCCCTTTCAGTAATTCCTACTCCTCCGGATAATTCTTCTCTCTTCATATTCACTGAGTGAATAAAATGCCTTCTTCTATTCAAGTATCCTTTTCTGTTTAAGTTGAGGGTTCTGAAAAAACAAGCCTTTGGAATGTCTTTTCCACATATAAAAATAAACATCTTCAAGTTCTTGCTGCCAAGCTTCCTCCCTTCGATTCTCTTTGTTCTTCGATACGCCCTATGATGCCTCAGTGTAACTAGATCTTTTCCTTTACCTTTTTCATCTGAAATAACGTCATAAAAGGATAATGAGTGTTTACACTCATATAAATGGGTAGTGAGTCATGTGATAGAAAATGAGGGGTGATACAAGCGTATAAAATCAGTACCAAATGATAATTGTTCATTTTGTATATTAAATAATGTTTACAAGTTACATTTTTTTTCTTTCTTTTATGGACGTGGTTAAAACCTGTTAATCAAATACTAATTTGCATCGATGCAAAAATACATGTTAAGATCTATGTGATGCTAAATCATGAATAATTAAGAGTTGTAAGAATTGTGACCTCTGATTGCGTTCTGGTTAGTGGGAGAACTATTGTTGCTCCTCCCTATTTCATGATCATTTGACCCTTTAGAGACCCATTGAAGTATCTGTTACAGTACATATAAATAATGCATGCATGCTTCAGATTCATTCCACCATCATATATATATATATATATATCAATAAACAACAAACCATACCTGCATTGCTACGGGCATAATATTATAATTTTTGAGTGAGGGTCTTGTCTATGACGGTGTTGAGAGATAAACTCGTTTTGCAGATCTTGTCAGAATGCCTAAGTTCCTGTCTAGTCTTTGAAGCCTTGGATGAGACAAAAGTTAAATTGCTATGATTTTAAGGAATATGGTGAGACAAAGCAGGTGAGTGAGGATTGTTTGCTTGATGATTTTGAGTAACACATGGAGCTTATATATATAGCACGATCGAGGGGTGTGGGTTAATGCAAAGAGTACTTGATATAATAATTATGATGTTCCTGCTTATGACGCGTGGTTCATAGCTATGCATACACTTGTATGTAGGTGACGTGATTACAACCACAAACAATATAGGCCGTCAATTGAAGACGTGGAAATCATATTTGTATTTTTCCTAAAATTTATATTTATATCTATTTCAAGGGTACATAATTTTATAATTTTGAATAGTCTTGCTATTCTTATTAGGTAGGCATTAAGATTTGGTACCTCAATATATTAAGGGTAAAGTAATAATCTAATCGTGATCTAAGGAAATTAATTAGTGACTAGAATTTTTCTTATTACATGCGATTTTTCTACGAATTTTATGAAAAATTTGTAGGAAACGTTGTTCCTGCAAATTTTTCTATGAAATTTTATTTGCAGGTAATACCTTCGTGGATAATATATTTTTGACAATTTTAAAATTTGCAAGAAATTTTCCTGCGAAATTTCTTGCAAAATAAAAAAAAATTGCAGGAAAGTTTCCTGCAAAATAAAATTCGTCGGTAAATTCGCAAGAAAGTTTCCTACAAATTTTTTCGCAAGAAATTCTGTAGGAATATTTTTTACGAAAAAAATTAAAGAAATTACTATAAATCATTCAAAGTATTTGTTTCCATGCCTCCAACATGCGATATATAATCTTTTAAATTCTAAGATTGTAGATTATAAGCCTAACATTCAACCATACAAATCAACTTATAAGGTAAGTGTTGTCCCAACTTATATACTCTTTTTCAATCGATGTGGGACTTGAAGTGTTTTTAAAATATTAAGAAATATCTGTAAATTATTTTTCGCAAATAAATTCGCAAAAAATTTCTGCGAATATTTTTTTTGCAAGAAAATTCACAGGAAAATGACACTTTTCTAGTAGTGTAATATTCTAATATATTTTATAATTAAGTAAAGAAAATATATTTTATGATTTGTTATGTATATACGTAATACTTAATAGTTGATTATTATTAAGAAAGATGGGTATGTATCAAATTTAAGTTCTCTATTTTCCTCAAACTCTACCCACTTAGGTGAAAAAAAAAGGCTTTGATTTTCGGATAAAGGGTTTGACTCCGCTGATAAATTGAGGAAACATCGATCTAGTTCCTATTTATTTATCATATTAATTGTTAATATTTCAATGTATAGTTATTATTATACTTTATAAATCTTTTAAAGTGTAATTTTAAAAAAGTCAAATTCCTAAATAAAAATCATATTACACAATTGAAAATGGACCCATTAAATAGAAAGATTAAGTTAAATTATATTTTTGGTTTCATCATTCACAATTATTTTAGTTGTCCTAATTTTTGATTTTGCATTTTTACTTTAACCTTATAAAATCTATAATTATTTTTTATGATTAAATGTTATTCACTTTATCAATTATAATGAAATTAATGATCTGATATTAAGCGGATATGATAATTAATATTTAAAATTAAAAGTATAATTTAGTCTAAATATTATTAAATAATTATCATAAGATATGTTAAACAATGCTACAGGTATAGTAATTAAAAGATAGATATTCAACAAGAAGATCAAAATTATAGATTTATTTTTTATAAAATTAAGAGATACAATTTGGAAAATTAAATTTAGGAGACTAAAATTACGAATCAGATACTATAGGGACTAATGCTCTATTTGGAGGTGAGGAATGAGAATAAGTCATATCAAACTAGACTTTAAATAAATAGGTTGGGCTAATTTTATAAAATTTAAATTTAAATCTAACTTATTATTTATTATTGTAACGACTCGCCGTAGCCGTCACACTACGAAACAACCCTACATACTACTAGAATATATATACTAAAATAGTATAATAAAATATTTACAACACAATGTTGCTAATCAAGCAACCAACAACAACTAGTTATATATAACAAAATATGTTACTATAAGGTAGCCTACAAAAAAAATATCCATCTCCAGGCACCTCCTGTGGCCTCTAGCAGCTATCTCCCAGCCTATCCCTGCCCTGCTTCCATACAACATATGATCATCGCAGTCCAAACCACATGGAAACATGCAAGGGTAAGCTAGAGATAATAAATAACTCATAAATATCAAATATGAAACACAACAACTATATAATCATCTTCACATCCGACACAAAAGATAAACAACACATATACTATATACCTTAACATCAGTTCAACTTATATTCAACATATCGACGCTGATCAATACTTCAACACAACTACTGTACAAACCATTTGAAATAGTTACCATATTCATCATAACAACAACCAACACATGTATGACACATCTCTCAACAACACATGTTTAAAAGCAACTTACAACATAACAACACTATCATCATCCTCAACAGGATCAACATACAACACAATCACAACTTAACAACACAACAACATATGTACAACTCATATCAACAACAAATCAACTCATCAACAACTTATGCGTCGTCACACATTTCAACTCGGAGATCTCCTACAACGTGGTGAGTAGTCTAAGTGGCTAGGTCCTACCGAACTGACAACACAGAACCTTTGTGGGCTTGCTAGGTAAACAACAAATTTGGATAGAAATTCACAACACGATAACGATTTCTCAGACTTTTCCACTTAAACAAGAAAGTATAGTACTCAGTTAGGAACTAAGTTCCCGACTTCGTACTTTACTCAAATTGGCCGCTTGTAATCGGTATAGCTCGACCTGGCCCCTATACCGTGGTCGCTTTGTAATCGGTATAGCTCGACCTGGCCCCTATATACCGTGGTCGCTTTGTAATCGGTATAGCTCGACCTTTCCCCTATACCGTGGTCGCTTTGTAATTGGTATAGCTCGACCTTGCCCCTATACCGTGGTCGCTTTATAATAGGTATAGCTCGACCTTGCCCTTATACTATGGTCACTTTGTACACGTGTACCTCGACCTTGCCCCCACACATGATCAACTAAGTCCTAGAGGAGAACAACACAACGTCCACTCCAAGGGACAACTTTCTAAGGAGGGTTTCTCAACAAGTTGGGCTCTCAGAGCACCACAACTATCTCAATCCACACAATGGGATGAGCAAATTCGAAAACATCTCCCCTAGTCCTAGTGATCAACAACTCATCATCACAGCTTAATCAGCTTACAACTCAACAACACAGCTCAACTCAATAACTTAAACAACCTACAACTTTTCAACTCATCATCTCAAACAACTTTCAACTTAAACAACATGGTATATTAGCACAGCAACTCATCAACGTTGTTTAACAACACATTTTAACAACACAACATCTCATTTCAACTTTAAACAACATAATCAACTCAACAGCTTATTAGCTCAACTCATAATTTACAACTCAATCATCATAAAATAATATCTTTTCAACACATGGCACAACATACAACTTTATAGCAACATACAACTCTTCTCTAACAACTTAACAACATGGTCTACTAATAAATTTTGTATAAATCTCAACACGTCTACACATTTCACATCATGCTTCTCACAACTCACAACATTATCATTTCATCATATTTTACAACATATAAATAATCCACACATAAATATAGCAACTTTAGCAACATACCATGTATTCAACGCATTTTCTATTTGGCACAACTACTCATTTAGCAATACTATACACTCAACATGCATCTCTTCATTTCACTTTCTACTCATCATACATCTCAATGTAATTATACAATTCCATATGAGTTCCTAAACTCACATACAACCAAATAACATATAATCTAGATTCCATTACTTGAAGATTGACTCAAAATAGCCAAGAACTAAGAAGAAGTAGAATTTCCTTTCCGAAGCTCAACCTGAAACTTCAATCCACCCAAAGCAAGCTTCCTAGTCCAGAGTCCTTCTCTCTAAAACTTCTCTCTAAAAACCTCTCCTTCTCCTCAACTGCACAACCTCTATTTATAGAAGTCTGAAGTGGCCAGAACGGCCCGTTTCAATTATAGAATTTTTTTAGGTATGATCCAACCTTCTTAAAAGTCTAATTTGGCCTACTATTTTATTTAAAAGTCTATTTTACGTTAACAGTGTTAAATAAATCAATAAATTTAATTTGAAATAAGTCAACAAATTTATTTTCAGTGTATGAGTATTTTTTAGTTTTCAAGATAAAGAAATAATTTATTTTATTATTATTAAAATCTAGAGTTTATTAAAACAAAAAAATTATCAAGGAATAAGTCATGCACACCATACACACTAACAAACACTCACGCAGATGTGTAACGGAAGAAGATAATATTATATATAAAAAAAATCTTTCTAACTATTTTATATATCCCATTTGAAATATATTCTAAATAAAAAATCATGATGATGAAAAAAAAAAGTAAGCAAAGATGCAACCGTTAGATTTTCTATTTTCTATTTCTTGATTTCGTATGAACAAAGAATGAAAAACATTTAAATAAGTTAGTAAAACTACCAAAGTTATTAATAATTTGATTTTTTATTTTACATTTATTTATTTATTTATATTATTAATAATGTAATAATTATATTATTTATTATTATTATATTATATAGATAAATAGGTTGATTTATCATACCTAACAGATTTTTTCATAAATTTAAGCACACCCTTTTTTAAATAAATAGATTTTTTTAAAATCTAAACATGACATTTTTACTAAATAAATTAGGTCAGGTTAGGTCATAAATCCCCTATTTAAGACATAACTTATTATCATCCTTATGAAAAAGGAATTAAAGAGACTAAGAGAGAACACGATAGAAATGATTTGAAAAAAATAGGTATATATTATAAATAGAGAAACTGATATTTTAAAATTATATTTTATATAGTGAAAATTTTATGTAAAAATGAATATTTTAACTAATTACTAACTTACCCTTTTCTCTCTGTTAACCTAAACTAATTGATTTTTAATTTATTTTAATATAATTTAGTTG